ATGCAGTATGTTAAGCCATCATTGGCACGCCATATGAAAGAGCTTGTTTAAGACCCGGCTCTTGTCCAATGCAGCTCTCTGCTCACAGACCCTGCTCCCAACGCTTGGGCTCCTAAGCCAAGTAATGGAGAGAACGAGTCATTGTGAAAATGCAAGCCTGACCCGGCAGGTCAGCGCAAGAAACATGATAGGAAACAGCCCAGAAAAGGCCATGGAAAGCTACCCACTGGCATACACTTGGCAGACGTGGGGGCAAGACCAGGCTGAATCTGTCCACGTCATCCACTGGCAAATCCAGGCACCAGTGTGGGTCGACCCAGGTTCGGTCGCAGCAAAGACTAGTGCACAATATGGAATGCCGAGGTGAGGTTGCCTGTACCGGAGGGGACCGCAGCGCCCAACCAGCCTGAGAACAAGAAAGGAAGTAGGCAGAGCCAGCAGGGGAATAAGGGAGGGTTCCTTTGCAGGATAGCTACTTCCACAGGAGAGCATGGGCTGGGATGGGGGCAGACCAGACTGGGCAGAGCTACCACACCTGTGCGCCTCATGTGGACTAGATCAGGGAAAAGCCGGGCTCGGTGGATCATTCCTACTGGTGCAAACAGAATTAAAGTGGGCGAGGTTTGTTTGGGCAGCAGTAACTGGAATCTGGGAGTGGGAGAGGCCTGGGAGGGTAATAGTGGGCTCATCCCTCTTGGGTTACCACTTCCACGGGAGGACATAAAACTAAACAGTGGCTGGGGTGGAATGGGGTGTGGGACAGACTGGATTACTGCTACACTTACTGGCAAACCAGGGTAGGGGCGGTCCTAGTGGGGGTTATTGTGGGTCGCTCCAACTAGGCTGCAGCTCCCACTGGTTTAGGTGAGGGCCAAATATGTGCGGGGCAGAACCAGACTGGACTGCAACACCCATTGGTTCCAGTGGAAGTCGGGAGTGAAAACAGAACCAACCCAGCAATTACAACCACCAGCTGATTGGAGCGATGGACGGTGCCTGGCCCTGTACTTGTTAGCACATACAAGAAGTTTCTCTGGAGATCTTCCTAATCTAAATGCTGGACTCAGAACCCTAACGAAGAAAAGAGAGAAGACAGAACAGGTCAACCAACCATCTCAGCTATGATGGACTATGTCAATCAGTGGATTTTTCAAAGACCTCATAGTGCTTGGAGTGGCAAGATTGACAGCGATTCATAACTGTTGCAACATCAAAACCACTCGAGCAAGAACCTCAGAGCATGTCCTACACCCGGGACTTGGGGAGGGTGGGAAATTGGGTGGGCCTTCTCCCTTAATACCCCCCTTTTAAACATGAAGGTAACAATATGGAAAACATACTAGTATTATCCACTTTCCTGTAGCCCTTGAACCTTCTTACTCTAAGTATGTAAAGAATATAAAAATAAATTTTATTAATAAAAAAAAAAAAAGAAAAAAAAAAAAGAAAATGCAAGCCTGGCCCTGGATTCCTCCGGCTTCTATGCATCTCTTCCACTCCTTCTAGAAAGTTCTTGCTAGAGAACAAACACACAGGGCCACTTTTGGCCTATGAATCTACAAGTTAAATCATTTTTTTTAAATAAAATATAGGGCCCTGGGCATTTTGTTACAGCAATGGAAAATGGGTTCTTAGGCTAGGAGTGTGATTAAGGAGATGGTATTATCTCAGAGAACATGAACATAGGGGCTTTCTTGAGGAACAGACTGAGGGTGATAAGGGCGGAGGCAGGATAGCAATTAGTACCCAGCTATTGAGTTTTCCTGGGAGAGAGACTACACTGGACACTAAAGGTGCTGGAGCCTTGGGTTGGGGGATGCATTTGTCTAGGAGAGAATTTTGCAAAAATAATGAACCTGGTATTTTAGACATAAAGGGAGAAAGAGCTTACCAAAAGATCTAGGATGTGGCTTGGAAGAAAGATAGGGGAATGCAGTGTCCCTTGAGGGAATAGACACAGGGCAGAAGAACCATTTTTTTTGGGGGGGGGGTTGTTTTTCCAAAATTTTGAATGTGAGGTAGAGGAGTTCCGCAGAAATGCCCAGTATTCAAGGGGACAGGCACTCCAGAAAGGAAGCGGATGTTCTCAGAACATAGAAAAGACAGTGGACACAGGTTTGGAGGCTCAGAGAAGAATGATGGTCAATGGGAACTTGGTCCATGTAAGTGATGTCTTGAAAAGTGAGCTTCCGGCCACAGGTGATGAGCTTACCAGAGCAAAGCTGGTGGTGTGGAGGACAGAAGCCAGATTTCAGTGGGGAGAGAAGGGATGTGAAGACAGGAAATATCAAGTGCAGTCTGTGTGGCAGTTTCCTTAGAAAGGGTTTCCTTAGAGAGAAGGGAGGAAGCAATGCTGATGGCCAGGGGCTGAGGCAAGGAGGGAGAGGCCCCTTTTGTCTCTGAACCTGGAAGGAAGAGTTAGTGTGGGTGCTTCAGGCGAGGAAAACCAATGGTAGGCAAAACAGGAAGTGGCTAAAATTAATTTTGAAGATTGGATTCTATGTTCGTTACCTGTTTTTTTTAGAAAAAGGAAAACTGGTCTATGCAACAGAAATGCAAATTTCAACCCTCCCCCACTCTCCCTCATCTGACTGGTTAGGACTCGAGTTTGGGGGGAGGTATGTGTGTATGTGCATGTTGGAAAAATCTTATCACTCATCATGTGTTCATGCTAAATTTTTATTCAATGTTATGCAACTGCATAAGTATAAATATCTGTTCAATGTACAACAATGATGACATCCATAGGGAATTTCTTAGAGAAAATAAGACTGCAAACACTTTATTGCACAGAGTCTAACAAACTTTTAAGCTGGTAAATCTACAGCTGGGAGTACTACCAGGGAGCACATCTTACAATCACACAGAGACTGACCAACTAGAACACAGGAGAACTTTCACCAGCTGATTGGAGAGGTTTACAACAAACAACAAGTATTACATGGATTCAACCTTAGGTATTCTCGACTCATCCAAAAATGCAAAAAACATATTTGGCCGAAATGATAATATGCTATACAAAATTTACATAAAAATCTCATCTGTAAACAAGCAGCTAGTTGTGCTTCAAAGGAAACTGAACAGTTAAAAAGCAAAGGCTGTAAACCATGACCGACCTCCCCAACAGACCTGTCTGAGTGTAGCATTGGGCTAGAACGACCACCATACACAGATATGTATTACAAACGTTGAGACCACTTCTGAAAGTCATGTAACTTCTTGTAACACAGCCATTTCTTCTATACTTTCACAATGGAGTCATAGGGGCTAGCTAAAACCACATGGAAAAAATTAGAGACAAAGAGGAGGACACTTTATTTTTTGTTTTTTTTTTTTCCATCGCCAACTGGTACCAAAGGACTAAGGAGTGAGGCCTTTGTCTTTGGATTGGAACTTAGAACCCCTGTTGGATGAGTCACCCTGCATAGGCCCTAAGACGACGCTGTGCTTAGAGAAAACAGCTTTAGAGCAGAAAGGTAGTAAGGCATCCCTGAGGGACTCTGGGTATTGGATTCGTTATTGACTAGTGACAGATTTTTTTTTTTTCCTGATAAAACAAAATAAACATCCAGGGGGTGGATCGCAAGCATCGCAGAGATAACTATGTGTGTTTTCTCTTAGTGTCTCCCTTGGTTCTCATGTCAGCAAGTGCCATCTGACAGCACAAAACAAGCCATCTGCAAAAACAAGAAACTCGGCACTAAAGTGTTCGAACAGAGTGGACACATTTCATGACATACAAAGTTTAAATAAGGCTTAGCAAAAGTAAAAAGGACGGTCACATTCAAGCACCAAATAGCTCCAACAAGTGTCTTTGTTATAAAATTGCTGCTCTTGTTTATTTTTTTTTGCATACAAATAAAGAGATCATGTTATGAAATATATGGAGCTACTTGATGCACCAGAAAAGAATGTGAAACCAGGGGAACTTGCTAAAAACAGCAAGCTTCAACTACAACATAAGGCCCCAGCTATGTACTCAAATGTATCTGATGTCCTGGTTATTCCTTAATATATGTTAGGATGCCAAAATCCGCTCCCCTCCCCCCCAGTTCTTTCTCAAAAAGAAAAAAAAACCAAAAAAGCAAATGTAAAAGTTCTTCTGATGCCTAAGCACTCACAGGTTTTGCTTGCGGCCATTTTCCTGTGCCTTTGGGGCAGGGCTGGTGCGGGACCACTGTGCTGTGTGTGCTACGGGATTATCTGCTCACAGCGGGAAGGCCTGAGTGTAAGAGGTTGAAAAGAAGGAAGAGAAAGACAACAGAAAGCAAGCTTACGTGGGCAAGTCCCTGCTCTGCCTCACCACTCAACACACCTCCAAAGACGGCTGGCCCATGGGACGCGTGGACCCTAGGTCACGGTGCCCATCGGGAGGACCTTGTCGCTCTGGCCATTCCTAGGCTGGGAGGATTCCACAGGCGGCCAGGAGCAGAGACTGCCGTTGGGCTTTGCTCTGGACAGTCGGCTCGCCAGATCCAGTGCGATCAGAAACTGGTTAAAAATCCACATAAAATCTCAAATCTCCTATATTTCATGGTTTTCCTCTTTACCTCTAGTTCATGTCATAGCTTCTAAAAATGGAGCCTTTAAAAGATCCTCTTTAACCACAGACCCAAACATGTTGGTGAATGTGTAAATATACACGGATATGGATGGATCCACTTTTTTTCACATACACCCCAGTTCTGAGCATCTTGCTTCATTACATTACCCGAAATGTTAAAGCTAAGATCTCATTAAATATGAAAGGGGGGGCTGTATAGTAGACGCCATTAGCAGCAAGAAATACACTCTACATCCCAAACCAAACACATGGCTAGATATTTACAGAGATCTTTCTCCTCCACAGGCCGCATCTCAGGTCAGGTACTTTTCAGAGGTTACAGCTGGGAAGGCATCTGGAAAGGAACTCGGCTCGCTCGCTCGCTCTCCCGCCTGCTGCCTCAGGGGACGCTCCTGTCCCTTTCAGCAGGTGAGCAGCACCTGCCGCGCCAAGCAGCTTAGCAGGCCTTTTTGTGTGGGCTGCTACGCAAACTCTCTTTCCCCCGCCTCTGCCGGACCACGAAATCTTTCTCGGAGGAAAGGGTGATGGGGCGGTCCACGCTGGCAGCCGGGGACGGCTTGGCGGTCTCTCTGCCCGCCGTGTGCTTCCTGACCGGGGCAGGCTCTGTCGTCCCCCGTGTCTCCCTGCTTCCCGAGAGCGCGCGGTCCCGGGGACTGGCCCTGTCCCACGAGCTGGGCTCTGGGTGCTGGGCCTCGGTGGGCGGGGTGGAGACTCGGAAGGAGGGCAGAGAGTCGCTCTTGGTCATCTGGGTTCTGCCGTCGCCCCCCGCGGCGGGGGCCCTGTGCTGGTCCCTGGAGGTGGGGAGCTCCACGGTGCCCGCGTGGCCCTTGATGGGTGCAGCCGCCTCCCCTGTGGCGGCGGTGGTGGCCTCCCGTCCTCGGGATCTGGCTTCTGGGAAGCTGCAGGAGGAGCTGAGCGGCTTCTCGGGAAGAGCCACGACCCGCAAGGTGCTCTGCCCGGACACCGAGGGCGACCGCTTCATGCCAGCCGGCTTGGAGACCTCGGCTGGTGGCTTCGGGGCGCCGTTGCCCTTCGCTCTGGCTTCGGCGCAGCCCTTCCCGGATCCCAGGGCCGGCCTCTCGGTGGTGGCACCTTTGGCTCGGCCCTCCGTGTGTGCGGGGGACGGGCTGGCCTCTGGCTTGGTGCCATCGGCTGTCGTGTGGTAAAGTGCTTCTGTGGGTTTCTTCCCTTCGGGAGCCGGCTGGCCAGAGCTTTTGTCTGTCTGTCTGCAGGAAGCAGGAGGAGGGCAATCTTTCACAGTGGCTGGTTTGGGCTGCTTTGGAAACAGGCTTGGCTTATCAGTGGCTGTGGGCAGCTCCTGGTCAGTGGGCTGGCCGAGGCCCAGGTGTCCTTGTTCAGGCCGGTGCCCAGGCTTCTCCCGGGCCTCCGGGGGTTGCCCACTACTGAGGGTCTGCAGTCTGGCATCTGGCAGGCTCCCTTCAGCTTTCAGGGGACTGCAGGGCCCAGCATCTCCCTGGTCAACCACATTACAACCTCTGATCTGGGCGTTTGCATCCAACCCAGCTCTGCTGCTGCCCTTGGCCGAGCTGGAGAGGGCCTGGCTAGCAGGCTCCTTGCCCTTGGCAACCCCGATGATGCTGGGTTTGGGGGCGGAGAGGGACTTCTCTGGGTTCTTTGATTTTGTGGGGCTGGGCTCAGGACCAGGCTGCCTGTGGCTACTGTTGTCACTGGGCACTGCGGCAGGCTTGGCAGGGTCCTGGGGGCCTGGCTTGCGTTCTGCAGCGGTGGCCTTGGGCCCCAGCTCTCTGCCAGAAGCGTGACTTGGGGCACTGCACTGCTGCCATGAGGGCGAGGCCAGGCCGGGCAGGTCTTTGGTGGGCAGTAGGGGCTGAGGGCTAGCGTTCAGAGGTCTCTGTGTAGGCTGTTCCTTCCGCTCCGTGGGCTCCTTGGCGTTGTCCTGCAGACCTGGGGGATGCACAAGCTGCTCGTTTTTGCCTCTGTCACTTCCGGGCAGACAGTACCTGGCAGGAGGGCCCTTGGGCTTGGGCTCCAGGCTACCTCTGCCCTTGCCAAACTCCTTGTCACAGGGAGCCCCAGCTGAGTGCAAGGAAGACTCCTGCCTGGGCAGCGGCCTCTCCTCCTCCCGGCCATCTTTGTGGTTGGTTTTCCTGCAAGGTCCGGCCGCCGTTGCCTCGGCTGCTGCCGCGTCGTCTGGGCTCTGGCTCTGCGCATGGAGATGCGGGCAGGTCCTGCCCACAGACGGGAGGCCTGGGGAGCCGTCGTTGGACCTGATGCTTTCTGGAGGACGCAGTTCCCCAGAGGGCTGTCTGGGTGTGTCAGCCCTGGAGGGGGGCCGCTCGCTTCTGGCTGTGGGAGGGCCCCCCTCACTCACTTCCCTCGACTTCTCCTTCGAGGGGACCCCTTCGGGAGGACCTGTTTCCCGTGGCCTGGCTGGCTCTGCACTGTGCGGGCTCTGTGCTGGGCAGGGGAGGAGCTTGGTGTCCGTGGGGGTAGGACGACTCTCTCTCTGTGACAGGTCCTCGGTGACTGTCCCAGGGCTCCTGCTAGTGAGGCGAGTGACTTTCCGGTCCGGCTTCAGCTCCTGGGCAGGGGTTGGAGTTGCTGGTGGCGCCTGCAGACTCCGGCTGGGGGGCAGGAACCGAGGCTCGAGCAGGTACGACTTACTCACCTTTAAGCTGGCAGGGGAAAGCTCTCTTGGACCTGCAGTTTCACCCCTTTTCTCGCTGCTGCTGATGGGGATGCCCGGTGGCATGGGGGGCCCCACGTCACTGCTCGGGCTGGGACTCAAGGCAGACTCCGGGGAAAGCAGCTCTGGCTTGGAGGCTTGGGGTCCCGACAGGAGAGCGATGTCTAAAGTACCCTCGAGGGGCTTCAGGCACGAAACCGATCTACCTTCCAGCTTATACTCGGGGCTCTTCCTGACAGGGGACTCGGTGGAGGTCACCAAGCCCGGCTTCTCTGTCCCCCCGTCCACTCGGCCAGCTAAGGCTTTGAGAGGAGCAAAGGAGACGGCGCTCATCGGGGCTGTGTGGGTGCTGCTGATAAACGCCCGGCTCTCGACTGCTGTTGGGGTGTCCTGCTGCCCACCCACGGGCCGGAGGGGGTTCCCCGGCAGGCACTCGTGGGTGTTGGTCATCAGCCCTGGGCCAGGGCTGTCATCTTTGTCTTCGATTGCCATTTTCTTCCAGAGGTAATCAATGTTGGCCAGTCTGCCGTCCAGCTTCTCGTTGCGGAAGTGTTCCTTGGCCTGGGGACCCTTCTCTGCATGCTCACCCCGCCCAGAGGAGGTGGGCCGCTCCAGGGAAGCACAGACACCATCCTGCAGGGGCCTGGCAGCAAGGGCCCGTTTGGAGTCCCCTGGGCCCTGGCTATGCTCCTTGGGCACAGGACTGCAGCCAGGGGCTGCCACTGCATCCAACGTGGCCCCCTCAGTGGCCCGCACGCTGGCCTGCTTATGCAGGGCATCTCGTAGCAAACTGCCCATGGTCGGGGCCTCTGGCCCGGTGGCTTTGCTGTCAAAATGACCTGCTCTTTCTAAAGCTTTGGAGTAAACTTTCTTCTCTCTCTCCTCCCGTCTTGACAGAGGGTGATTTTCCAAGTCACTCTTGAGACCAGGGGCTTTCTGGGAAGGTTCTTGTTTGTCTGGGAGGCCCTCTGGTTTCTTGACCACCACCTTGGCCTTGAGCTTGTCCCGGTCCAGGTCGTCCACCGACTCCTGTCGGCCTAGCTTCCTGGAGACGGGGCGCTTCAGGCAGCCCTGCTCCACGGGGCGTGCACGGCTGAGAGATGGCGCGTCGCACATGCTCTCTTCCAGGCTCTGCAGCGTGGTGTCCCGCTGGCTCTGCTCCCGCTGCACCTCTTCCTGGGTCACTTCCAGGCTGTGTTTGCGCGAGCACAGGTGCTTCTTGTCACCAGCGTAGGAGGGCGCCAGCTTCTCCTCGGACTGCACGCGCTTGAGCAGCGGGGACCGCGGGGGCTCGGCGCTCTTGGGCCGCACCACGTGTCTGACGATGGTGGGAGGGGAGTGCATCTTGCTGGGAAAGGCTTGGGCGATCTTGGCGCTGCCCAGGGAGTGTCCCAACAGCGGGGATGGTGAGCGCTGTGGAGAGGTGGGCTGGGGAGTCGGAGAGGGCGTCCGGGCCAGTGGAGACAGGGGGATGCTGCCAGCCGACTTCCGGCGTCCTGAGCGGTACCTCTGCCCGCTGAGCTTGGGGGCCAGGCCGTGGAGTGTGCTGGGCCGGATGTGCCCCGATCCCGCTGGGGAGTTGGGGGCGCTAGAACTTGGGGAGCTGCTCTGGGAGGAATTAGTACCTGCCGGGAGGGTGGGGGAAGGAAGACAAGGCTGTGAGCATCCAAGTTCTACCTTGTTCCCTTCCCACGTCCAGCCCAGGCTGCTTAAGGTAAGGTTTGGGAAAGGGCACTTGCTGAGCGTCCTCCCTTCCCCCAAGCTAAGCCCAGGCTCTCTTAAACACTGCCTGTGTCATGAGGAAGTCGCGTAGTGTTTTCCCAGGGTCCCGGAGGGTGACTTTTTCTTGCTCCCCACTTTTTCCGCTGTCCAGATCTCAGGACCCTCACTCACCTGATGGAAAGTCAGGGGTGGAGCGATAACTGGGCGTGGGGGAGCGCGGGGACAGGCTGTGCGTGGGCGACCCGGGCAGGCTCTCTCCCGAGGACAGGGACCTGTTGAGGCAGGAGAAGCTCCGGCTGGTATGGAGTAAGGGAGATGGCTGCTTGGCCAGCTTCTTGAAAAGGGATCTCCTCCTGGGAAGAAAACAGATGCACTGAGAAGGGCTTTCCTAGGGCAGAGCTCGGGCCTCCCCACCCCAGCACCCACGAGGTCAGCTCGTGGCTTTGTCAGAACTGATGCGTTGACCCCATTTAATTAAGAGAGCATGCAAGGTCTTTCACGGTGCTGCAGTGAGCAGGCGCTTCATTCACGAAGGGCTGTTTGTAGCGCTTTCAGCCCTCCGAGCTCCTGAATATTGCTGACAGCGCAGCCTGTGTATTTACATAGAAAACATCCAGAAAGCTGAGGCTGAAGCTTACCGTGGCGGCAGATGCTGGCAGCAACCATAAAAGTGAAATGTGCATTTTGAGCACATCTTAAAAAACCCAGCTCTGGGAGCCGGTATCGAACCTCCTGGTTAGGAAGGCAGAGGAAATGCACAGCGCCCGTACCGGCGTGCCTGAGCCCCGACTCTCCAGCCCGACTCTGCCTTGCCACCAGGATGGACTCTGGGAGCCTGTGGTTCAGGTCCCTGTGAGGTCTCCGGTTTGGTCTAGCCTGGAACCCGGCCACGGTGGGCATTCGAGGGATGCTCCTACTTTCTGTCTCTTCGATTTTCAAGAAAAAAGCAAAATGAAATGAACAAGCTTAGCCGCCCTGACTCTTTGGGGCACACAGCTGTGTGGAGCTACTTCACCACTTGGAGAGCCCAACCCTCTTCTCGTGAGCTCAAACAAAGCTGAGTCCTGCCTGGCCTGCAGCCAGTTTGTTCTAGATGACTTAAAAATACGATCAACAATGAAGCACCACCAAAAAAGAAGGATCCTAGTCCTGGCTTCGGATCGGCATAGCATCGGCCATTGCGCTCACTTGGGGAGTGAATCATCGGACGGAAGATATTCCTCTCTGTCTCTCCTCCTCTCTGTATATTTGACTTTCCAATAAATAAATATATCTTTAATAATAAAAAAAAGAGGGATCCTAAAATTTGGGTGTGCAGCTTTAAGCAAAGTAATAAGTTGGATTTAAAAGTCAAACAGTTCTACAAAATGAAAATGAAAAAGCGCTCATATATTCTGGTTTCTCTCCATTTCCCCCAAAACCCCAGTTCCTCTCAGGTGTCTGTCTAATGCTAAAATACTATCCTGATACTACTTAATTTTAGGAATAACCTGTGAATTTCCTAATCTGGGAGATGAGGTCAAGCTCTAATACCAGCTTTGCCATATGCTTCCCCTTGTCTGTCTCTCCCACATAATAAGTCAAAAACGTTTTTTGGTGAGAAAAAATGGTTAGTGTTTCATGGTGCAGTAGAAGTGCTGCTCACAGCCAGTCCATGTGCAGGAGAATTCTGTATCTTTGCTTCTTGGGACTCTTGGTGTACATAGATCATTCATTTGGGGTTTAATTTCTATCATTAGAGATCCTCTTAAGATAAGAAGAGCTGCCAGGGCATGGTGCAGGAGGCACGCCCCGAATGCCTGCCGAGGGCACACACAGGCATCCTGCTGGCATCCGCCCAGAAAGTGGTGCCCAGGCTGCAAATGTGTGTGACCTGCTTAGGGTTTCCTGTCAGTCAAACGATGCCCATTGATTTCTGGGGCTTACATAGAAGCTTTAAAGATGAAGTGATTTTAGGATAGCTGGCATTTTTTTCAAAGAAAAAAAACACACCAACTGTTTGTTTTTAGATAAAGGACCTTTTAAATGTGGATTGAATATGAAAAACTGCCTACAGGTCTGGTCCCTCAAATCCAAGTGCTCTGAAATGAAGGCTGGAGGCTTGAAAAACAGTAAAAGGTTTTGCACGGTGCTCACGCATGATAAAAAGCAAGTTCTATCTCTGTACAATACAAATATGGAAATCCTTTCCCTGGGAAAAAATAATGCTATTGTGACTACGAACTTGATAAGTGTGTGAAGTGCTGTCCCGTATTTCCCAGAGAGAAACGAATGCTTCCATAGGACACGGATCTGAGCGAACCAGGGGATAACCTGTGTCCACCACAGGCAAGGCCAGGCACCTGTGAACCCTCCTTCCACTGTACCTCTCCAGGCTCTCTTTCTTCTTGCATTTCTTGCTCCGCCTCACCATCCGGCTCTTATAGCTGTTTCTTCTAGCTGGTCCCGTTTTGATGGAAGTGTTTTCAAACGGGGTAGTGTTGATTGATACTTTATTTCCGCTCTGTGAAAAAAAAAAAAATGAGGTGCTATTCAAGCAAAGAAAAGTTGTGATGGAAAATCGGAATCAGGTAATAAGAAGATTCCAAATGAAACAGAGGCACCCTCATATGTACACAAGGCTCCGCTCCCTCCCTCTGTGAGGCTCTGCCGACACAGACCGGCTGCAAGGCCAAATGTGGAGGATCTGCAAGAGGCTGGCCTCCAGGGTCCTCGGCTCTGAGTTCGAAACCTGCTCACTGACACTGGCAGGCTGTTTGCCCTTCTGGGAAGCAGCGTCCACTGCTGGCGGGGGGCCCAGCCCAGCTCCCAGGGCTCGTGTGGCGGTTAAATGAGAGAAGGCTGACACAGCCCGCAACCCCAAGTGTGACACATGGAAGGGGGCCTATAAATAACAGTTCTCTTCATCCATATGCATAAGGCCACACATGCCCGGCGGCTGTCTGCTTTCGCTTGATTTATTTCACTTTTTTCTTCCTTTTTGTGTGTTTCCTTTGGCCTAGAAATTATAAGAGGGGAAAACTGAATGAATCTTTTCATTTTAATTGCTTTAAAAGCTTCCTTTCTCTAATTCCATTAAAAAAAAACCTGTCAACGTGCAAAGCTGGTGAAGTCTCTGCTCGCCAGAGGGCGCTCTGCCCCGAACCAGATCACAGAATCCAGAGAAGGTTCCAGGTGGAACCTTGTGGCATCTTTTCACCCACGCCCACAGCTCATCCCCACCTGGAACCAGGTCTCGGGGAGGTAAGTAGGTTGGGCGTGAGAGACTAGAGAAACAAAAATGACGGCCATGGTAAAATCTACGCTCCCTCCCCGGCTCGGGATAGAACCTGCGGCTTCGTAAGACAGAGACTAGACAGCATAAGTAGCTAGATTAAAACCACTGGGGAACCTCTCGTCTGATGCCACTGGTCATTTGCTGCTTGATTTTTTTTTTTAGGCAAGTATCAGCATATGTTCTCATTTTTGGACATGTTTCACATTATATAATTCTGAACAACTTTCCCTTCATCATGAAGTATTAAGAACATGATTTTTTTAAAAATGCAATGAGAGAATGAGAATTTATCCATTTCCATACTGCTGTTTTCCATGTCGCTTATTATGGTTAGTTGTAGCTCTTTAGGAAATGGCTTGTTCATGTCTCCCATCTGGTTTACCCTGGAGAGTCCTGGTCTTTCACTCAAACTTCCTTGTATGTTTAAGAACATATAACCCCACCCCGTGTCAGATTTGTGCAAAAACAGGGTCTGAACTTCAGCGGAAGTGTGTTGTTCTGAAAGAATAAATTATGCAAGGAATTCTTTAGGCAAATGCAAAAACTTAACTAGCATGGAGACTGATGTTCTACTGTTGCTTTAAGAGGGGAATTCAGTTGATGGTACTTGAGGTCTACCTGTTAAGGTTTCAGGGAGTGGGTTGTTCCCATTACAAACAGAGAGGCTTTGGTGAAGGAAAGAGGTGGCAGCGTGGATGGAGCGCGGCTCTCTGACCTTCCTAGGCTCAGGACACATGGGATGTAACCACTGCTGGGCTGTTCAGGCACCAGGGCCCTGGGAACCTGAACCCAACCCTACCCTTCCTTAAGATAACTTCAGAGTTCATGGGCAGGTGGAACTGAGTTTGCTTTGGTGCTCCAAAATGTTGAAATGCATGCTTTAACAAAACAAAACAAAAAACAACTACATGCTTTGAGCATTTTGAAGAGCCTCTGGGTAATGAATGACGACGTCACCTGGAATTTGACGCGTGGCTGCTGTCTTTATTTTTGCAATCACATTCATGAGGTTGTTGGTTTCGCCCTCATGACTCGGGACATTTTTTGCTCATTTGTAAAGAATGGAGCTGATTCTTTCCAAGGCCATAGAGCCTGGTACACAGCCTGCCTCTGCCTTTCACCTGTCCCCCACTGGCTCTGGGCATCCTGGTCCCTCAACTCCCCTGTGCCTAGTATATGCATGCTTTGTATATGCCAGGGGACAGAAACATCATGACACGGTGTAAGATAAACACAGAAATGAATGAAGATCAGAATCTGCTAAACAAGAGCCTTAGTGTCACTAACTTCTAGCTCCCTTGACCCTCCAAAAATCAAACCCACTGTTCCCTTTTGATGGTTGCCCCGGTAACCAGAGTACGGTGGAGCCTGGGCCCAAAGCTGCAACCCTCGAGGTTGGTGAAATCCTGGCGGGCCCCTGAGGCAGTGAGATCACGCTGCACCAATGAAGGGCTGGAGCGACCCCACCCCAGCTTGCATGTCAGGGGAGTTTAAACTCCTTTGCACAGCTCTTGCAGGCTTTTCTTCCCTTTGCAGCCCCTTCCTCCATGCCTGCCTTTCCACTGCACAGGGAAGGGAAGCCCGTGACCATGGTTTCCGGAATCAAGGCCATCTAAATTACTCCTCTACATTTGGCTGAAGTATTCGTTCCCTGGTGGTCGGCAAATCTTACACACTTTCCTACATTTGATTTGTTCCACAGGAGTTAACTTTGAAATGGGCCCAAAAGATAACCTCCCATTCACCAAGAATTCAGGGGCAAAAGTTAGGCTGGAAACGTTAGCGGTCAGATTAAAATGGCAAAATGTTGGAGGGGGAAAAAAAATCAAAATAGGTGAGGTTTGTGGAGCCTGCCATCTGGTGGATGCGCTCTGCTATAGCAAGTGCTTCCTTAAAATGGCTTACTGGGCTGGTTTGTCCTCTTAACACAGTGACCCCATATCAGAGCAATTCAGTGGCACTTGTTCCAGAAATAACAGTGGCAACAGAAATTCCCGCAGCAGACTCTTAAATGTTCAGTTAATTCACTTTCCTATTCAACTCTTTGTGATCCATGCACAGTGGGAGGGAAATTGTTTTAAGCTAGCTGAATTGAATACAATAGTCTGGCTATGCAATTTCTTCTCTCAATCTGGCTCTCTCTGCTAGCTGCTTATCAGTTGGCCTTGGGTAATTCACCTCGAGCTTAGCTGTCTTGCACACTTCTTTCTCTGCGAAGCTCTGCGAAGTCTCCCAAAGGACCCCCTTCATTCCTCAGCCCCACCCATCCTGCACACTACATCCACACAGGCTGTGGGTTCCTTCTCACTAGTTCTTCTGTCTCACGTGCCTTGGGGTCTCTAGCCATTGAATTTCCATTCCTCTTCATTCCTTCCCACACCCACCCCCCCGAAAGATCGTGTGCCCTTTTTCAAATACTGAGTTAATATCTATTTCCTGCACGGACACCCAACTTTTGTATGCAGGCCCTGTGTACCGTGGTAAAAGTCCATCTGTCCTCATTCGGAACACATGCTTGTGGCCTGATCTTCCTGTGGGATTCTGTGATAACAACCTGGCGTACCCCCCCAACCCACCCCAGTAAACATTAGACCGGAAGTTACTGCCACTGTTGGCAGTGGAGCGCCCGAGCTATACTGCCTGGTGGAAATTATCTCTTTAGACAGACTTGGGATGCTATAACTTTTCTCTGCTTTGGTTGGTTCACCAGTAAAATGGGGCATTTATTTTTACAGAGTTTAACTATGAGAGCTGTCTGAGTTAATTTGTGTACAACACAACAAAGCTTGGCAGGAAGCAGGTGCGCCACTTGCTATTGTTTGTGTGTGTCATTCCCATGTGATCCTTGCAGGACCTGACCCAGCACGTCAGGAACTCAGTAAATCGGATGCTCATTGAGGGCCACCACTGCAGTATCTACAGGCTCTTTCCACGTTTTAGAAAAAGGAACATCTGAACCGAGCCTGGTGAAGTTTTAAGACATTGCTTATGTCTTTGGGGCATTTACTCTGATGCTGTCCTAAGAAAGCAACCTGGTTAAATCGAAGTTTTCTGATAATGGAAGCTAAGACTGGCAGACTCTCATGTAAGCAGGAGTTGCACGTGGGTCTGGTCTGTATGGTGTTCATTGGTGGATACAGAACACGAAGAAAGCTTGCAGACGGTAAGTTCTTTGTGCAAGACTGATGCTGACTGCGAGTGAACAGGAGGTGGCTAACTCCTTGGGGAATGCAGGGTGTGAATTCAAGCCAAAAAGGTACACTGCGGGCTTGGCACAATAGCCTAGTGGCTAAAAATCCTTGTCTTGCATGAAACAAGATCCCATGTGGGTGCTGGTTCATGTTCTGTCTGCTCCACGTTCCATTCAATTCCTGACTTGTGCCTGGGAAAGTAGTTGAGGAAGGTCCAAAGCCTTGGGACCCTGCACCTACACAGGACCCAGCAGAAGCTCCTGGCCTCAGGTTGGTTCAGTTCCAGCCACTGTGACTACTTGGCAGTGGTTGGAAGATCTTCCTCTATGTCTCTCCTTCTCTCTGTAAATCTGACTTTCCAATAAAAAATAATAAATCTTAAAAAAATATAAAAGAGTACACTGCAGAGGATTCACAGAGCTAAACAGGATCTGAACTAGACAGTGATGGCGTTCCGTAGTTCCATGGGTCTAGGACGCTATGGACAGGTTTCTCTGTGCATGAAGTTAACTCGCTTTTCCACTGTACATTTACCTTGAAGTTACGAAGGTAAATGAAGCCCAATGTGAAGCTCTGGGCGTAAGGAACAGGCTTTATGCTAATAATCCAGAAGATGAATAGTGCATGTTATTTCAAAACATCCAGCCCCACAGGTTGAATTCTCCACCTGAGGGAGTTGTGAGAATCTGGGGAGTGTTTTGCAACCACAAAAAAATACGAGGTACACAGCGTCTGTGAATGTTAAAGGAGTTGCTCTCCAATGTTAAGCAGGGACAGCACAGCAGCACCCAACAGTGAGACTTGTCATTTCACACTCTCTGCTCCAGAATCACTGGGTAAATTTGGAAGAAAGCTGCGTGATTACACAGTTCACTGGGAAGATAATTAAATCCCTGGTATGCTCTTTGTTTTATGACACTAGTTACTCCGCTGGAGTGCTTCCTTCACCAACTGGATACAGGCTTGGATTTTGGACGGAGCCCACCAGGGTAGCCTAGAAGGCCCAAGGGCCCCCCACCTCTGTTTTTGCACGAGTCATTTCAGGGCTGCCTCGCAAAGTAGAGGCTAGACGTTGTGTTACGTGCCCTGGAACCAAACCAGGGCAAATAAATTAGATGATTCAGTTCTTCTAAGAGATGCTGCCAGCCCTTTAGGGGAAGTCTACATCCAAATTTTATAAAAGCAAAAACATCAGTTATATTATAATTAACAAATGAAATAAGTTTACTTTAGTGCAACTTTTTTTTAAAAAAGATGTTCATAGAAAAACTATAATGAAAACACTACAGTTTCAAAAAAAACAGTTTCAAAAAAAATTTGGTGGTGAGAGTATCTTGTAATTTTGTTTTCCCACAAATTCTTGAAGCATTCTTGCATTTCATTTACCTCCTGTCCTGATTTTTCTGAGCTCGGGATATCACAGAGATGCTATTAGGCATGTAACAAAGAATGAAGACAAAATCCCTTCCACCTTTTTCCTTTTTTTTCAGATGAATGAAAACCAAGAGTTCACCCTCAGAACAGACTCAATCCCTAACATGATGGGTCAAGGTGAACTGGGAACACTCAGAGAGGATTTGAGAAAGAGCAAGCTCCTCCTTTCTCCCCACCCCTGTGGTCCTGAGCAAGACGGAAGCTTTAGTGTTGACACGGGAGACAAGGAGAACACACAACTTCCCTGAGTCCCTGACCCCCTCAGGGTGGCACCTGCCATGTGGCACCTGCCCACTGGCTCCAATCCAGTGGGAAAAGCACTCGGTCGGACTTGAGTCTTTGCTCTTGTCCTTCATGCTGGCTTTTAGGAGAGTAAGATCTTCTCATCACTTTCCCAGTCAAAGGATCTCAAAGTGAACAACTATGCTGTTCCATACATCGCCTGAACACCAACTCTGAGGGAGGGGTTCATCCCTATTGGACATGAGAAGAATACTGCACGAGACTGATGTTCACTGAAGCTAAAATCTCAGGACTTCCCCACATGGATGCCACACTGAAGGCATTTGCTTTTACTCAGTAGCCACTTAGCAAACATGTAAAGCTTAAAGCTTCTACTAAACCAGTTGTGTGATACTTGTCCTCTCGTGGCCACTGTGCGACAACTGGCAAATAACGGCTCATCCACAAGTTGTTAAGCCTCTCTTCCCTATGGGACCTGAGCCCAGGACCAAAATCTCAGTACTCACGTGAATCAGTCCACGTTAGTCACTTTTCTCTCGTTTCATACCATTTCAATACTGTAACCTTGGATAGCCGTCCTATTTCACAGTACTTCCAGAACCTCTTTGTGTGGGCTGGGAAGATGGCAGAGAAGGGCAAACTCCTTCGACTACTGGCACCCCACTTCTCTAAATGCCTGCCAAGTGTAGTCTGACATCACGTCCCTGCGGCGCCTCACACACATTTCCACGCATAAGTGTAGTGTTTCTCCCCCACTACAACCTCCACCGACTGTTTCTTTTTCTTAGATACATCCCCTATACTTTTTGAGGACAAAGATCATAGGATAATGCCCAGAGTCTCCACTGGGACCTAACTTACCTGCTAGTGCTCTAGCTAACACTCTAGCTGGAGGCTGAATATTAAACGGCATAGGGGACTGGTATAACATAGCAGAGGGGTTGGTTCCAGTCTGGGTCGCCCTACTTCTGATCCAGCTCCCTGCAAATGTGCCTCAGAACTTGGGGCCCCTGAGACCCATGAAGGAAGCCTGGACAGAGTGTCTGACTTCACCCTGGACTAGCCCTGGCCGCTGTGGCCATCTGGGGAGAGAACCAGCAGATGAAAACGATACTATGGAGCTGTTTATACAGAGGAACTTTGAAACAGGGTGAAATTTGGTGCAAAAGAAGTAAAATTCATGCACAGTTTCACAATGCATGTTTTCTATGAAATCTTTAAAACCTTTTGTATGTGTTTATGCTAAGTCGTTGATTCTAAGGCCGTGGCCCAAATCTCTGGTACCTAGACCCTTAAACACTCTGGGCACAATATTTAAGAAGAGACTGTCTATAAATCTACTGACTTGAAAAAGTAATACAAGTTGGGACAGTATTTCTCATCACAAATAAATTCACCTTTTTCTAAACTAAGTTTAAATTCATCTATATTTTATCCAGATCCACACTGGAAAATAGACTTGTATATGCTAGAATCAGCAGATGGCAAAGCAAACTCAGTGTCAGGGAAGACGGGGTACAATATGCTTTCTCCACACAGACCCATGCTTCTGCTGAGTTTATTCCGTGGGATTCACTACAAGCAGGATCTCTAGTTAAATTAATTGTCTTGGGAGTGGGAAGAACTTAATAATTGATAGAACCACCAGTTTCATAGAGGGATATGTATATCTGTGTAAATATATATATATCCAAAAAGTATATAAAATCTTTGATAGTTTTGTATTCCAGAGAAATTCCAGCTTGCAGACTAACCCTTCAGACTGGAACTCAGAGTTTCACAGTATCTTTTCTTTATTATACTAGAATAAAATTACCGATGGTTCCTGCAGAAAATCACTTTTAAGACAGGTAATTTGCAAACAGGTATATAAAGAAAAAGAATTCTTTCTTTTGAAGGGATTTCAGAAAGTCCTTATGAAATGGAATTAAAACAAATACTTTTGGTCCCCAAGGTTCCTGAGATCCATGCATAACATTCCATAATACATATTTCCCATTAACTTTTTGAAGACCCCTCATAATTGCAATTTAGAATGAGAAGCAAAATTAGGGAATGAGTGGGTAGATAAAAGGATCTTACTTATGATGGAAATTCAGGGAAATGAGAATATCTTTGTGTGTATATTATATCAGTAATGGGACTGATTATCTGGGTGTACTATAGAAACTCTCTTGGTTCCAGCTCCTTTGGTTACCTGCCTCCTTGTGACATAAGACAATACCTTGAGTAGAAGCTCTATAACTTCAGTGTGGACAAGTCCATGGACTGGCTCTCCATTGATGTGTGTGATCAGGTCCCCGGCCTTCAGTCCAGCCTGGCAGGCCAGACTTCCTTCTTCCACATTCTAAAGCCCAGAAGGAAAGTATATATTTGTCAGCAGGTAGATAACAACTCTTTTTAGCTAAATATTTGAATTAGATCCCAAGTTGCTCACAGGAAATCAAAGAGGCATGGCTAATCTTCCTATTATGGCACTGTCCTAACAAAGTGTAGGGCCGGTGTAAGGATGTGGACATCAATGCTGCAGAGGGAGACTCCAGGGGGAGCCAGTGTCTGGTAGCCTGGTGTCCCAATTGGATCGGTCCCTGTCACTCATTTGAGAGGTTTGGACTGAATTCCCAGCTGTTCCTGGCATGTGGGGAGTGAACCTAAAGGGACCTCATGGTCTCTCTGAAATCAACTTAAACTAAAACTGAAGGTGAATTCAAATGGCAAAGGCTAGTAAAAATAGTGAAGTAAAGTAAAGGGAGGATAGAAATGGGACCGTTTTTGCCTACTCCTATACACAAGCTGGCAGACATAGTCAATGAAATATGAAAACTTAGGGCTGGCACCATAGTATATTGTAAGTTAAGCTCCTGCCGAAGGTGCCAGCATCTCATAGGGCCACAAGTTCCAATCCTGGCTGCTCCACTTCTGATGCAGCTCCCTGCTTATGGCCTGGGAAAGCAGTGAAGATGGACCTGAGTCCTTGTATACCCAGCATGGCAGACCTTGAAGAAGTTGCTGGCTGTTTGGGACTAGCCCAGCTCCAGCCATTGTGGCCATGTGGGGAGTGAACCAGCAGATGGAAGATCTCTCTCCCTCCCTTTTCTTCCCCTCTTTCGGTAAATTTGTCTCTCAAAAATAAATCTAAAAGAAAATGAAGTCTAGAAAGAACTATAAGAAATCACTAGCTTTTGCTAGTTCAGCTCCACTACAAAAACACAAACACCAAGGATGAGAGGAAAATGAGGCAGATCTTGAGCCAGTCTGACAGATCCCTTTGTGAGGAACGCTGCCATGGCCCAGCTGAACTCACCCAGATGATGTGATGCACGGTGTAGACATCACTGTCTCCCACATACACCCGGATGGCACGCATGGTGAAGCCATAGTTCTTCCCCGAGCTGTGGATCACGATGGGCTGATGGGGACTGGCAGACGCTCCCGAGGAGTCCCGGCTAGGAGAGGAATCCCGGGAGGAGGAGGGGTCCGAGGACAGGGAATGGGGAGACATGGGACTGCCCAGTGGAGAAACAGCAAACATGTCTGCAACAGAGAAAGCAGCCGTCAGCGCTGAGCCTGTTCCCACCCCATGTCCATGCAGTGTGCCCTCGCCCCACGGGCCTCCCGGGGTCACAAGCTCAGGCCCCAAACAAAGCCACCCATCCTCAGGACCGTGATGCAGCAATCACACACACATGTTTACGCAGGCAGCTTGCATGGACTTCAAAACAGAAAAGGAAACTTCTCTTTCTGTTTTAACTAGCTTGTCAATGGATACTTAAAAGTAACATTTTCTTAGCTCTTTACACCTACTTCCTGGCAATTTTAATTTACTGTATTAGTAAAAGAAATCAACCATAAATGCATATGAAAAGATACTTCAAAAGGTTGTAGAAAATGGAATTAAAAGGTAAGGGTCTTATGGTACAAAAATTTTTGAAATGGGTGTGTATCAGGAGGTCTTCGAAAGGTCGTGAAAATGCATATCATGATAAAAGTGCATGGATTTCCAAAAATTTTGCACTAAAATAAACTTTTCATTTCTTTCTCCAGGAACTCGTTGAAGGATCTTCACATTTCAAGTATGTCCTTCAGCACAGACCATTATGTACTTGGGTCAAAGATAGGGGGACTCAAAATCTTGCACTAAACAGCTTCAACATGTGTTTTGTTTTTTTTTTTTTTAAAGACACATGCCAGGAAAGCAATCTATCGGTTTAGCAGCTGCTATCTTATCAAGTTATTAAAGTTATTACTTCTATGGGCCCGGCGGCGTGGCTTAGCAGTTAAAGTCCTCACCTTGAACGTGCCGGGATCCCATATGGGCGCCGCTTCTAATCCCGGCAGCCCCACTTCCCATCCAGCTCCCTGCTTGTGGCCTGGGAAAGCAGTCGAGGATGGCCCAAAGCTTTGGGACCCTGCACCCACGTGGGAGACCTGGAAGAAGTTCCTGGATCCTGGCTTTGGATCGGCATAGCACTGGATGTTGCGCTCACTTGGGGAGTGAATCATCGGATGGAAGATCTTCCTCTCTGTCTCTCCTCCTCTCTGAATATCTGACTTTCCAATAAATAAATAAATAAATAAATAAATAAATAAATAAATAAATTTTAAAAAAAATTATTACTTCTAAAAAATAATCAAGAAAACACTGAAGTGGTAAATTCTCTAAAAAAGATGGACTCATTACCATAGTTACAATGGGATCTCTTGATATATTGTTGGAAATTCTAATAATCCTAATAAGGTTTCTGAAGATAATTCAGACGAGGTACAAGAGTTCAAGGGAAGCGCAATTCGTGTTCTAAAACATCAATTCTCTGTTTTATAAGCAAACAGCTAACGTCTAGACGTTGTGTTCCTTTTAAAATTCATAGGCTGAACTCCAAGCTGATGCTAACTGTGAAGTGGGCCTTCTGCAGGGTGAAGGTGTCAGGGACAAGGGGCCTTTGCATGAGTGGCACTAGCACCCTCAGAGGCAGCAGGCTTGCTTGTCCTTCTGTGACAGCACAGAAGTGATCGTCTTTTCACCAGGAACTGTAGCCACTGGCACTCCACTCTAGGACTTCCTAGGCCCCAGAAGAGTGGACAATAAATGGACTAAGACACATACATTTTCAACTAGAGTTGCTGTCACTTGCATCTGTGCTTTGATCGTGAGCTCAGAGTCCGGCTACGATGTGTTCCAGTGCTGCTGAAGTCATCAGGGTGTGGTGGCTTACACTGTAAACTCAAAGGACCCCCACTGCCGTTGCTCCAATTTGTTGACTATCTGAACAAGAACAAACCTAGATGTATCATTCCTCCTGCTCCTTCTCTGACTTTATGTGGCCTCCTAGGGTGACCTTCTGTCTCCACAATGAGAGGTGCCCAGTGGGGGGGGGGGGCAGGAGTCTTCAGGAGAGGTGACAGGATGAGGACAGAGTGCAGTGCAAAGCTCCAACTGACCCAATCCTTCATTTCATGTCACTCTCCCTTCTCTGCCCAAACTGAATAATTTCTCATTTCTAAAGGATGAGTCTTCTCTCTCCAGCTTTCCAAAGTGCCCTGAACAATATCAAACCTACCTTTCCCTTCAGTGTGACTGCACTGGGACAATCCCCCTCAGGTTATGAAGAGCCCATCAGATGATGGCCAGAGGGAGTGGTCTTACAGCACCAAGACAATCTACCGGCATGCCTACTGCCCCCAATGAGTATGTGTTTAGATCTGATTTCCTGTTGCACAAATATGGAATACAAAAATATAATCCTCTGTCTACACTGTCCATATTCTCCCAAAGAGAAGCCATCTGTGATACGATCCAATTCCCATTCCCCAGCTCTTACTGTCGCTTAAGTGATGTCATAAACATCAGTGTGTACATTTCATCTCTGCCAGTGGAATTAACTACTGATTGGTGATCAGCAGAGGCAAAAAGCAAGCTGTGGAAAAAATATTGCAATTCAATAAAACCATCATTAAGCGCAGTTTTCCAAAACAGGGCAGCAAATGACTTGACTACCAGTAGGAGGAAGCATAGCTCAAGCTACAGTGTTAGGAAAAAAACGTTCTCTCTCAATGCTACCTGTGACCTTGGATCTCTGGAAAGGAAAAGCTCACATTTCTGTGTCTCTAGTCTCATTAGTTAGATGAGCAACGCTAAACCCAACTCTTCACAGGATATAAACCATACTGTGTAGAGAAGAAAAATGATCCAAAGGAAGAACTGTATCATTTAGCTTAGATGTAGGAAAGAAACAACACACGAGGTAAGCCATCTTGGCAAGACAGCCTTTACCATCTCGATGTGGAGTGGGAGGAAAGCAGGCCACGCATGCTCTGTGGGAGCCCCCAAGAGCACCTGCAGGGAGAACCTGGGGCTCAACAGGCAGAAGCTCCGTGTCTTGAGAGTGGGTCTGGCACAGCCCCACCAGCATGCCAACTCGGGGCAGGGGAACGCATGCAGAAATGACGCGGTTTCGGGCATGCACACGTCTCGCTACCTCCTGGGATCATGAGGGACAGGGCACTGGCAGACAGGGACTTGGTGACTTTGCCCGAGACTTTCTTTTTCTCTGTGTTTTCTAATCGCTGCCGGGCCATGTGGGAGGCGGGCTCACTGCACGGCTTTGAGGAATTATCTGGACTGCCCACACCCTCGCTGCGTCCATTGATCTGATCCAAGTGCTCTGAAAAACTGCCAACTGCACAAAACAGAGAGGATAAGCACATTCAGGAAAATCCAGGACAGGCAAAGAGAGAGAAGGAAGGAAGGGCACACAGTGTCAGACAACAGCAGGGGAAAAACAACACAGCAGAGATGTTCAAGTCTCTGCTCGTACACGTGTCTGCTCAGTCTTCCACCATGACTCCATGGGACCAGAGGAACAAACTGCTTCTGTTAAACCCTGCTAGGTCATTCTCTTCCTGCCCTACGCCAGACAAGAGCAGGTAATACTCCCACCATTACCTCATATATATCACAACCTATGACCCCTGTGAGACCAATGACCTTCACTATCAATGCTTTTAATGAGAGTTTTGATCCACGGTCATCATTTACCCATTCTAGGCAAGCTCTGTCTGTGCCATCCCCTTCCATCTTCCTAAGGCACACGCTGTCCTAGGCTCAGGTATGTAACTTCAGGAAAATGTCGAGTGGCACCTCTGACTTCTTATGCTGTGTGTTTATGCCAAGCTGCTTCCTCATTGCAAAAGACAAGCCAGAGCAGAGCACCAGCACACTGCCATCTTCCAGACAATGTGGCATATGCTTCCAGAACTTAATCTTCGTCCTTTCTCAGCCATGCTTTCATTATTTTTGGTTTCATTCAAGCTTTAAAACAAAGGGGGGGGGGTCTTTCCACGGCAATGGACTGTGAGTATAAACAGGATGGAAGGGATAGAGATGGGAGTTACCGATGTCAGCTGAGTGACAGCAGAGGGACAGAGGGCAAAAGGTCTTAGGAGTCACACATGGGTTGCCAAGAGAAACACTGAGCAACTGTCTCTTGATTCCTCCTACAATTTCTTCCCCAGGTTATCACTTGCCTGTTTTCACTGAGAATATTTTAGTCCATCCAGAAGAGGCAATGCTTATTTTTACTTGTAAATGTTGTCTTTTCACATTCCTGCGCTGAAGAGTGAAGTCTCTCATATAAGATATGCAATGCATGCAGAGGATTTAATATCATTATGAATGGTCTTTTCAAACAACAGCCAGCACATGATGAATTGCTGAGCAGGTGAAATCCTCTGTGCAGGACTGAGGCTGCTTTTGGCGTGCTCAAGTCTCTGTTACACTGCTGTGAATACGCAAGGGTACTAGTGACCGTGGCTCCAGTTCATGGAGGAGGCACTGACTGCCTGTGTGTGGTCTAAGCTGAAGGAAGCCAGGGGCTTGGGAGAACTGTTGTGCGCCCAGCACACTCCCTGGCCATCCACTGTATACAGTGGTATGCACAGGAAAACAAAACATGAACTTTCATGTATCTTCCATCTGTCCAATGAAGGAAGATGATCTTAAGGCAAATATCAGCCTTCTTCCTCCCATAGGCTAACCTCCTCCTCCCTTAACAGTGGCTCTGTTTCACTCCCTGGGAGAAAACAAATGTTGATGGACTTGATGGAATCTGTCTCACTATTCAGAATCTCATCTCACAGAAGTGGGGCTTCCTTTTGGGTAAGGTACACACTTCTCATTTCTAATTTGGTCTTGATGGGGCCACTAAAAAGCACAAAATCAAAATCTAAACGTATTCACAGTCACCACTGGATCCATCCAAGCATTTACTGGTCACAGAGTCACGAACAATGCTGCTGTGAAAAAGTTGTACTTCCCTGAATGGCACGGTGTGGACAGACACTTTCTGCTTTTAGCACCATTTCTCATTGCTCCTGCCATCTCATTTCACAGTACCACGTCTAAGCGTGTGCTGCTTTTCTGCCAGTGGTGGATAATGTCACCTTAATGTTCAGTAAATGTCAAGAGTCCTTTCTTTTTGATGGCAGAGCAATATAAAAATCAACAAATTTAATTTTACTACAGTCACGGTTTTCAGGTTCCCTAATTACTGTTGGCTCGAGGCAGATCAGCTCATCTCTCTATTCTGCAAAGCCTTTAAGGCCTTTGATTATTTTTAGTATGTTTATTAGGGAGACAGAGAGAGAGAGAGAGAGAGAAAGGTGGTTTGAATCTATTAATCAAAATGCATGGCAGGACCTAACCAGAGGTTTTTTTAATTATGAAAATAATCAATCAAATGCTCAGACACCCTGCTCCTCCTCTCCCCTCCTACCTTCCAGATAGTGAGCAGGCTGAGGAGATGAGACCGAGTAAACAATTTTCCAGGGGAATAGCACATTTGAAATGGAGGTGCTTATGTTGTATTTAGAGTAAGCTAACTCAGACCCAGACAGAAGTTAGAACCTAGCATGTAAAATACAGAGCTAGCCAGCCTCGGCTTAACTACAGGATGAGCTAAGCATGAGCAGCAATCTTAGACTAAGAGATCGGTGGTTGCTACACTATTTCTGCATTGGTATTCTCTTGACCACATTGTTGGGGCGCGAGGAAGAGCATTGGAAGCAGAACTGGGGTGAAGACGGGGACAGCAGGGATAGCATTATTTCTTCCTGAAATATAATCGCCAAGCATGTGTGTGGCACGACAGATCCACTTTAGTGAGGCTGATGTATACCGGGTCCATAAAATTTGCCTTAACATCTTTTTTAAAAAAAAACCAAACACTACGAAGATTCAGTTTAAACTGTTGCTGAAAAATCTTGGAATGGTCATGGATCTAACGGAAACACAGCGACTCTTCCGCATCCATGTTGAGTTTTTTTTTTTTTTTTTAGGGATAAATGTACATTCCTCTGTAAAAGGATATTGTGGGCATCAAGGTTTTTATATAAACAATACTTGAAATGCATGTAGGAAATCTTGTTCTGGGAGAAGTGCACGTTTGACTCTCTAATGAAGACTCTGCGAGTATGGGTCTACAGACTGGATAGGCCCCGCACTTGAAATGTCTTGCCATGATCATGCTGCTGCTACAAGGAAGGTTAGTGCACACAGCGGTGCGTTCAGAGCAAAGATCCCCAGCTCTGAGACTTCTTCCCAAGCAGTCAAAGTTACCACAGAAGCTTCTGACCCCAGGTGCCGTCTAACAGGGAAGGTGAATTGTCTTGTATGCAGTTATTCCACATGCACTTAAATACAAATTCTGATTATGTTGGCATTCTGGAGTCCCTTTCCCACCCAGTGCTAGATGCACCCAAAAGCATCTCTGATTCTCATAGCATGAGCATCTTGTATTCAGTGGGACTGAAGGCAACACCACCATTACTACCAGCCCCTTCCTTTGATGAAGCATCAAGCATCCCTTGAGGCAAAACTGGCTTTCCATTGCACCTTCTGGGTGACTCACATCACCTGCTAGGGTGTAGTCTTGTCTCTTACTCAGAACTATGTCTTTGTACCAACAACTGACAGTGCGCTCCCTGGTAGGCTCTGCTGCCAATGGGTCTGAGACACGAGATTGTCCACAAGCCTCAAGGAGTGAGACCAGCAACACAACAAACCCCAGCTCACAGTCTGGCGAAGCCAGCCCTGGACCAGCAGTGTGAGGATCACTTGAAGGTGGGCTGAAGAGTGGATGCCAGGCACCCCATCCCAGGCTTACCTGACAGGGTGGAGCTGCTGATGGTGCTGGCTGGGGTGGTAACCTCAGGTTCCTCCTGGGCACACTCCTCAGGTGGAAGGGCTGGCTTCTCTGGCTCTGGGTGGGCATCACTGGGGCAGGGGGCAGCTGTGTCTTGTTCCCCCTCTGTTGAAATAGCCAATTTGGGAAGTAGGCCAGAACTGAGTTTCCTCTTGTTGCTTTCAGTATCCGAAGAGTTAGAGGTGGATAACTGTTGCCTTCATAAAAACCAAAAACAAAGTCATAAGGTTGCACTCAGGCATACTGTGTTCAAGGGGAACTATGGAACCAACTAGGTAACACTGGCTCTTGGACAAGCCTCACCAAGACATGGCTGGTGTAGGGGTTCCTAGTGTGTAGGACCCAGGCCAGCAGCTTGGAATGCTCATTAAGTGCACATTCTGCAGGCCACTCCCCGTGGCTGGGCTTAGCTATCTGCAGCTTTTACAAAACTCTCAAGGTCATTCTGAAGCCCACTACAGAACCACTGTTATGCTAGTTAGTGGTTTAGTAACTGCTCTAGGGCCACAAGGTATTTCACATACATCTCAGAGTATTCCGAACTCCAGCTTAACGTTTCTGTGGATGGCAGAGCAATGCTTTTGGCTTTGTCCCCAGGGTCTTCCTTCTCTTCTCCTGGATTCTGAGTTGTGCGATCTATACTGCTGAACACCTGGAAGGCACATAATCAGTGATTACTGAAATTTTCCAGGAAGAGCTTGCCGGAACCAACCCTCCCCCTTCACGTCTTTGCACACAAATCTGAGTATGACTCAAGCTTGAACTGGGATCACACACCCAGAAAGCCCTCTCCTGGGCTGTCTACTTGAATCTTAAGAGGCACGAGTGAGAAGCCATGAATTCACTCCCACCCTCGACCCCCACCATATCTCGTTATAGACGCTGTGCCTGCAAATAAAATCCATAGATGCATTAGGTTCTCTAGGCACATCTTAGATTACTTCTTAGCCGTGAAGTCAATCAGAAAACGAAATAACAGAGAAAAAAGCCTTAATTGGCCACCAGTCACAGGGAGGAAGAAGGAAAAATGAATTGGAATTGGTAGCCAAGAGAATAAATGATCTGTTTTTGTACTTGAGCAGGGTGAGGGGTGGGCAGAGAGCAGGCAGGCAGGCAGGATACATTTGGTCACGAGGGACAGCAGCATTTGCTTGGTTTACAAATCACATTCACAGTCTGCCTCCTGTGTGAAGGGGTTAGAGCTAAGTCAAACCCAGGGGCTTGGCTCACTTCAGAATCTTTATTGTCCTGCAGGAGACATGGGAAGCAATTCAGGAGTGGAATGTCCAGTTCAGGAAGCACACCCCAATGCTGCCTTACTCAGCCCCTTAGGAATGGGATTAGGAGACTGGTGGCTAAGAATAAGGGAAGAAGAATAAAATACTGGCAAAGGATGTGCTTGCCTCGCCAGCATGTGTACTAAAATACAAGTGAAGGACATGGATAATGTTTAGCGGGTGGCTTGGATGGGCTGGAGAGCAGGACCTGGTCCAAGGCTGCATCAGAATCAGCAGAGCTTTGGCTGCCACCTTCTCCAGCGAAATCTCTAGAGAAACAGGTATGCCAGGTCATCACTTAGGAAAAGTGAGAGAGAACTTCAAAATCTACGATGTGCTTAGAAAAGCTAAACAATACTCACCCAACATGCCATGGCAACAGAAAATATGTAGTTAATAAAAAAAAGAAAAGGGAACCAGAATTCTCTCAAAGTTTAATTCTACTTTTCCCAGGGTCCCTCGAACTATCAGTTTTCTTCATTTTATTATTATTATTACCACTACTGCTGCCAAAAAGAAAGCATCTTCACCAAGCATTCATCTTGTTATCTTCCACCACATCCAGAAGTCTAGCATGGCTTCCTTCTGCTTGGTGTGTGTAGCTTACAGTTTCCCTGATTCTGAGCCTTTCCCATCCCTCAATCAGCTGTCCCCAAGCACAGTGGCTCATGTCAAGCACTGCACTTGCTCTGTGTATCCGCAGCAGTTGCTCAGCACACAACCAAGAGCACATTTCCCAGTCCAAAAGGAGAAATGGGCGAGGCCTCCACAGGCCAGTTCTGAGCTAGGACAAGGGTGTGCACAAGGGCAAGCCATATCCTAGCAATGGCTATCCTAGACTCTAGGGAGCCAACTCCTGCACATGACTTCCTGCCTCTGAGAGCATTAACTGTACCCACAGCCTGGAAGGGACCCTGCATCACAAGGGAAAGGGGTCCCTCTTCCTACATAAAAAGGATTTGTGAGCACACAGACTGCCCAAAGCACACGAGGTTTACAATCCTGCCCCGATGTTTCACGGGAGCCAGCTGGCCTACCAGAGGCAGCTCCTCCCAGACTGTACATGCTCACACCACATTTCACTTACTTTGGAAAACCTATGTGAACACGAAGAGAACTGCCTTATCTCCACGGTGAAGTCTTCATCATTGGTGTCATCCTCTTCCTCGGTTTCCATATGATGATACTTTTCTGACCGAGCTGCAGAAAAATGTTTGGGAACAGTCATGTCACTCCAAATTTCAGCTTTTGATTTAGACATGTTAAGTATGCATTTTTGGGTCACATCAACATTATGGTTATGGACATGCAGGTGTAACACTGGAAGGCTCAAAGTCAAGAGAATGTTTTTGCAGACTAAAGGCCAACTAGCTATTCTATGTTGGATAACGCACGTACTGTCGAAATAGCTAGTGTCGTCCTCGGATTCCAGTTGGGGAATGAATTCTGCCTTCTGTCTCAGCAGACTGTTCCAGTCCAAAGAACGGAAGAATCGATGCTGCTTGACCTCATATGCGCCACCTGCAAGGAGGAGTGAGCAGACACTGAACGTGGGAAGCTATACTTTGAGGGAAAGTCGACAGCAGTCTTTCAGAAGGGTTGAAAAAAAATACGTCAGCACAAAAATGAAGTCATGGGTATCGTCCTTTTCCATCCCACAACCAAAACTCAAACGGAATTTCCCATAATTGATCGGCAAGAGACTTGATTTCACTAACAGCAGTTGCTATGGCACAGTTTTTTTTTTTTCTCTGTTAATTTCTCCATGACTTCCTCCATTTCGTAAAGGTTAATGATGCGGCCACTTAAAATCACATTATGCTGGACCCGTGAATGTGGACGCATGCGGGCCCAAAGCAGCCTCCCTCATTACAACGCAGAGATTCTAACAAGGGGCAAAATGCGTTCCTAGCAATAGTTTCTCGGGAGCGAAGGCTAACAATGATTAATTTTTGCTAAATGCTATATAATGGCTACCATTCAATTTGATCGGATTGCCCATTAACATGGGTAAGGAATTAGATTCCATGGATTACAGATCCTTAAGTAAGAAACATAAAACCTGTTCGACAGATGTGTAATGCATCCAATAAAAAAAAATCAATCACAATGTCCAAATTTTAGGCTTTAATTTTTTTTTTTTTTTGGCCAAGTCAGCAGAATAGCACAATTAAGTAAAATGTTCTTTAGTTCAGTTCACTCTTTTGAAGAATGATTTTGAAGGGCAGGCCTCATCATAGAGACGAACTGTGCACCCCATGCAAAGAGAAGGAGATAACGCATTATAAAACCCAGTAGAACCAGGCCCCGCCCGAGCACCAGCTCACATGCTGTTGATGAGGCAACAACAAAGAATCAATCCTGGGAACATGCCAGGAAGAGAGATTTCTCTGAAGACTACGCTGCTGTCTAATCGGCCTTCCTGCCGAGAGAACTCTACTAGGTGTAGCATAAATGCCTGTTTCTGCCAGTTGTCACCCATGCTCTCATCCTATGCTCTGTGGGACACAAAAGGAGTCGAATCAGCAATGCTAGCAGAATGGAAAATGGGCTGTGGATGTTGATTGTTGGTGGCTGGTGCTCCCTGGGTACTGCGAAGATGGGGCTCTGTCCCCACAGAGTCCCTGTAATGCAAGGTATGGAGGTCGACTTGAGTGCCAAACTCACCAGGGGACACAGGTGTTCTAAAAATAATGGAATGGAGAAACGAGAGCAGACGGAGAAAATCACCCTCACCTTGAAAAGTCTGCTGTGTGCATGCTGGGGGGTGGGGGGAGTGAGGGGAGACAAGGGACTGGATGTATGTTTACAAGGCATGTAATGAAAATGTTCAGTGAAGATTCTATCCAGAACACTGCAGTGTGATGTTGATCAGCAGCAGTCGTTGCTACCAAGGTCAAGTAGGTGATATAGATCTCTTGTTTTCCTCAGTTAAATCATCGACAGTAACTCCATGGAGCAGGCACTATCACCCACTTTGGGCTGGGGAAACAAAGACTAAGCTGTAAACCACAGTGACCCAAGAGACCCTAGAGGGGCACGATCATGAAGAGCCAGAACATAAGTCTAGAGACCCAAGGCCAAGCTGAGTGAAGGGGACGCATCCTGCAGAAGCAGAAGGCATGTGGTACTCACTCCCACTCTGCCTGCCCTCCTGCAGTAGTTCACACACAAACCTGTTAGCGAGCCTAAAAGCCACGCTCATGGTCATTCTGCAGTCCTGAATCCTCCATGCAACCCAGCTGTTGTCCAGCCCCACTGCCTGTCCCTGCTGTCCCCAGAGCAGCACAATATGGATAGTTACAGGGCTTCAATCACACAGCCACTTGCTCAGCATGCTGATGACAATGAGGCCCAAAGAGGCAAGTCCTGCTACTGGCCACAGGTTTGCATCCCTGGACATCCAGTCCAGCCACCAGTTCACAGTGACTCACTGCTGTGCACTGGACCGTCACATGATAATAGCTCAGGCACTTGGGTTATGTGGAAGAACAGTTTCTCTAAGGCTTCAACAGCACTGCTAAGGGCGTGCATTTTCCCAGCTTAAGATCCTGGTTGGGACACCGATATCCAGTATCATATATCTGTATTGAAGTCGTGGATCCACTTCTGATACCAGCCTCCTGCTAGTGCATCCCTTGGGATGTTGCCAGAGATGACTCAAGTAGCTCTGTTCTTGATACCCCCAAGGAAGACCTGGATTAAGTTCCCAGCTTCAGCTTAGCCCAATTCTGCTGCTGTGTGCATTTCATAAACAGATAATGACAAACAATGGTACTTCCAGAGTGTTGAATGTTCATACTTTTAATTTGAGAGGTAGCGAAAAAGAGAGCTTCCATCTGCTGTTTACTCCCCAAATGGGCCAGGGAAAAGCCCGGAGTTAGGAACCCCAGCTAGGTCCCTCACACGGGTGGCAAGGGTCCAAGTACTTGGCCCATCTTCTGCTGCTTTCCCAGGTGTAGCACTAGGGAGCTGGATCAGCAGCAGGGCAGCTAGGACACTGGTGTCCCAGACAGTAGCTTAACCCACTGTGTCATGATGCCAACCACAACTGTCGGATTTTTCACTCCTCTGACTGCCACCGTCAGGGCCAGGCTGTTTACAACCTCTACTCCCTCCTCCGTGTGGACAATGGCAAGTGGGATCTCCCCAAGGATTCAACCCCCACATTTTCTCACTGCTTGGTAGCAATGCTGCACTGAGAGGTTAATTATCAGTAGGTTCTGTTTTTTAATCAGAGGAAGGAAAGGGATACATTGGGAAAAATTACCTCTATGCTCAACTGTTAAAATATGGTTGATTACTTAAAACTACATATCTGTAGGTGATTACAAGCTGAATAGCAGCTACATATGCAAATGACCACAGTTGCTGTGAAGACTTAACCTAGAACGGAGGGGAAAGGAAATGGGAATTCTCTGGTTCCTGTTAGGCATTAAGTCAATATGCTAGATGCCATGATGAAAACGTCTGCATGCCTCACAACATTCCTGCATTGTGTAGCATAACAAACCCATTTTCATGGTGTAGAAGCTGAGTCTTGGAGCAATAAATGAACAACTTAAGCCATCCCACCCCTCCACACACACACACCTGCCAAGCTGGTACAGAAGTAGCAGCCACATCTAGCAAGCTCTGAAGTCCAATGAGCCAGGTGGCCACTCGGCAAGTTCTAAAGCAGAGTTGGAGCAGGACAAGGCCCCATATTGTAAGTAATGCTTTGGCACTAACATCCTCCCTGGAGTTTCTCTCTCTTTTCATGGAAGTTTCTTAAACATCCATTATGTTCTTCACACCCTTTTTCTCAGCTTCTCTAGTCTCTTGGGAAAATGTGCATTCACACATTTTCACGGTGCATTATTTTGCCGGCTAAATATGCATTAAAGACAAAATGCTGTCATTGGAAGCAGCATGGCAGGCCTGCGGGATTGTCAGCCTCACTCTCTGGGCCCTCCGGGACCTGTCACATTGGACTTGCCTGTTTGGCAAGCGCTTCTTGACAATGCTGAGAGCCTGGGCAGGGCCTTTTAAACGTCTCTTTTGGGCTTCTGCTAGGGGGATTTGTTCCTCCGGCTGTCAAATGCTAAAAAGACCAAAAGTAGCAGCCCACAAGAAAAATGTGTCGGGAGTAACTGGCACCATAGGATCCATCTTCCAGGAAGTGGTGACCATCATGGCCTGTCGCGTCAAGTCAAGTGCAACCAGGGATCCAGGTGTTCTTGGCTGAGCGAAACGGCGGCAAAGAAAGTGGAGAAATGCTGTGACTGACATGTGAACTCTGAAGCAGGGACTTGAGTCGGCCTCAGTCTGGTTATGTTCTCAGAGGGATCTGAGGGTGACATTTCTCTGGGTCAGTTGAACAGGGTGTATGAATAGACACTTGTGTGATTGCAGGACAATCTTAAAATGTCACTGCTTCTTGCATTTGGCTCATCTGAGTAAAACAATCACTCCTTAAGCTGCTGCCCCACACACGACCTTGACGCGAGTTCTCCGACAGCTCCTCGTGCCTCTTGAACCAGAAAGCAAATACGGCTGCAGGCCAGAGAGGATGGGAGAACAAGGCTGCTCAGCTCTTCAGACAAGTGGAAAAGCAAATAAGGGATGGGGGGAGAATTCAACTATTCAGTTCAAAGAGTTTGATCAGCTCAGCGGCACAGGGGGGCCACTGCCACTTTCCTGCCTCGGAGTTCCTGGAAGCAAAGCAAGCAAGTCTGTGTGCAGAGCATTTAAAATGACCACTCCCGCGGCTGCAGCATCCTACCAGGCCCACGCAGCCTCCTGCGCATGATCTCGCTTTAGTCTTGCAAGAATCCGGGAAGGGGAGACTTCCAAGAGCTCCTTGTTATAGATGAGGAACAGAGAAGGAAGTGACCTACCCGCTGTCGCACAGCCAAGATTTACACTCGGCCAGATGGATTCTAGAGTTGGTGCCCTGAATGACAGTACACTTTGGTTTTCCAAGTTTAAAAGTCTATGCATCTATCATGAAGGGCAAAACGCACAAGGCACTCCAGGAGAAAAAAGATTCAGTTCCAAAAAACCTCCTCAGCTCAACTCTGATTGTAAACCTTCCTGCATTCTGCAATGTCAGTTCTATAGCATTTTTGGACAAATGGCCAGACAGTATATATGACCTACCCTTTCATGGTCTACCCAGTCAGCTCTGAGCGCCCCACCCTGGAGCATGGAGGCAGCCACCGACAGTATGTTGTATGAATGGCCACTGCTGAGTTTCCAGAACACGTCTTTCACACACCACAGACACTAGGCCTCACGAGGCCCACAGGTCACCCTCTGCAGACCCCTGCCCCAGAAGCATTGGGAGAAAACCCAGTTACTGTGTCCCATATGGAAACAAGATCAGAGCCCACAGAGGCAGGATCTGTGGACACTGTGAACGAGACTCTAAAAGAACTCTCTGGAGCTGTCCCAAATGATTGCTGTCTGAGAAAAGCAAGTGGAGGGAAATGATTCTTCAGGAGTTTCTGAGACTTCAAAAATGGGGTGGAATAAAACAACGCAGGGCGAAGAACTCACCAAGCCAGCAGTGTTCACCCACAAACCTTAAGGATAGTGGCTAAAGGATGTGCATTTATGTTTAATATTGTGGCTCATTTAGAGAAATTCATTTCCTGAGATCCAACAATGGGATTTCTGAGTCTGTCTAGTAAGAATACAGGGGGAGAGGACCCGGCGTGGTAGCCTAGTGACTAAAGTCCTCGTCTTGAACACGCTGGGATCACATAGGGACGCCGGGTCTAATCCTGGTGACCCTGCTTCCCATCCAACTCCCTGCCTGTGGCCTGGGAAAGCAACTGAGCAAGGCCCAATGCCTTGGGACCCTGCGCCCACGTGGGTGATCTGAAAGAAGCTCCTGGTTCCTGGCTTCAGATCAGCTCAGCTCTGGCTTTTGAGGCCGCTAGGGGAGTGAACCATCAAACAGAAGATCTTCCTCTCTGTTTCTCCTCCTCTGTGCATATATCTGACTTTTCAATAAAAACAAATAAATCTTAAAATACAGGGGAGAAAAGGAAGCAAAAAAAAAAAGATTTGGAGAAAAGTCAGGAAAAATAGTCACTATGAAACAAAACTATCTGCTTAATATTGGAAAGCACTGGTCTTTTTTATTTTTAAGATTTGTTTTATTTTTACTGGAAAGGCGGATATACAGAGAGGAGAGACAGAGAGGAAGATCTTTCGTCCAACAACGGCCGATGCTGAGCTTATCCAAAGCCAGAAGCCAGGAGCCTCTTCCAGGTCTTCTACGCAGGAGCAGGGTCCCAAGGCTTTGGGCCATCTTCAACTGCCTTGCCAGGCTTCAAGCAGGGAGCTGGATGAGAAGTGGGGCTGCTGGGATTAGAATTGGTGCCCAAATGGGGACCAGCGCTTGCAAGCCAAGGACTTTAGCCACTAGGCTACAGTGCCAGGTCCAAGGCATTGGTCTTTCTGATAACCATAGTAGGCAATTGTGGCTCAACCTCAGGTTGTCGTTTCTAGTAATTATTTCAAGTGCTGATAACCTGTTCCAAAGCCGGTGGAGAATAACCTGCTGGGTCAAATCTTTATGGGAATGGACTAAAAAGCAAAACGTGAGAACTCCATATATCTCACCCCCAGTTTCAAATGATGAAGGCGCATGCTTTGCAGGACAGAAGAGTGACATGTGGCCCTGAGGATTTTTTTTTCAGAGATGTTTTGGTTTTAACTAAAGCTAACTCCGAATCCTTTCTGCTTTGCAAAGCCCAAAGACAAAAACAAAGAACGATAACCCACCCTCCCCGTATACACGCTGCTCTGAATCAGAAACCAAAATTCAAAGTATCATTGCTAGAATGTGCTGCATTCATGTTCTACATCAACCAACAGATGTTGCCTATGCAAAAGCAAAACGCAAAGAAAAGCCTCTGACTGCTCCAGCAAGACGAAGCGTCTTGCAGACGAATATTGGCAAAATCGAAACATATGCTCTCTAACCTGTGCCCAGCCTCTCCAGGGGATTTTGCCTGAGGAGCAGCGTAATCAGATCCTGGGCATCCGGTGGGGGAGCCTCCTCCTTTTCAGGCCAGTTGATCTCATCTAGAAGGAAGAAAAGTCGGTTATAACCCTATTGATTTGTCCAAGGGTGGTCCAGGTCGCGGTCATATGGGCTTGACTAAGAGGTAGTTAACAGCTGCACAGGGCTCTTAGCCCAGCCCTCCCAAATCAGGGCCTGCATGGTAGCAATATCTTCAGCTGGTCCCTAAGCACCATCAAGGGCGAGAAAGCACTGTTTTTATTAAATATGTGAAAACACACAGCCTCCTGCAAGGTAGAGGAAAGAATATTCCAAGAAGTAGGATCTGTCATTTCCTTGTCTGATCTATCTTTCTTCGGCCTAGTCATTCCCTGCAGGTTGCTCCTTGTGGTGATTCCGAGAATTAAAACAGAAACTCAAACGCCATGTTTCCCGTGCCTGCCTGTCGGGTGACCATCTATGGGTAAGGCTTTCTCTCTCTTTCCCCCAGACAGAATGTGGCCCCTGCCTGCCTTCCTCAGCCACTGGAAAAAAGTGAAATCTGGCAGAAATGACTACCTCCAGAGACAAAGGAAGGGTCACAATGTGAAGGAGGAAGACGGAAAAAGATGCCGGAGTAATCATACTAATGCGAGTATTTAAACTGTGCAATAAATATTCGAAGATGTTCTCATTGTAACATACTTGGCCTGCAGATAGGTGTGCAAGCCTGTGTGTATAAAAATGCAATAAAAACATGAGTTATTTCTGTGTATGCCTGCCTCTGGGCTCCTGTGCTGCAGCTGAAATCTGATTTGGAAAGTAAAACATGAATATGCATCCATGCTGTAAGGCATCTAGAACAAAGCTAGCATTTGCTGCTTGTGTTAATTAAACAGTTGATTCCCCTTGCCGTGCAGGACTCGGCAGATCAGAAAACAGTCTAGTTAGAAATCCATAAACAGCTCAGACAGTGTAGAAAGGGGTTATACACTGCAGGCAGTTCACAGATGTACTTGGTTCAAGTTTACAAATCTGCCTGGCTTGCAAAGTCAATAACAGAAAACAATACTATGACTAAGGGGCTCCTCACACGTAAAATGAATTTGTTTCCCTGCATGGCCCTGATAAGCAGCTATAATCCAGAACGAAGTGGACATGGCCAGTGGAGATGTTCGTGAAGACCAAGTTTCAAGATGGGAAGCCTTTTTTTTTTAACCTAAGCTTTGTAGAAAATTTATAAAATCAGCAGGTAGGGTAATGAGACATTCTATTTAATTATCATCTAGATTTTGCCACCAGCTTCAAAACAATAGTTAGGGTCAGCTGGCAGGTTAAGATCTAAAGGTTATTGAATTTTAAATGAAAGATGAACAGCTGTTACAGAAATAACATTACACCATAACAACTACCAATGAAATCATTAACAATCTGGGGATTCAATTTGCTTCCTTCCCATTCTCATTATTTATTATTTGGTAGACATTTGTTTTAGGGTTTATTACATTTTTGTTAATTTCTTCATTGTGCCATTAGCCATTTTTCCCATTTATATAAATGTTACCCACATTAACCTTTTCTTCCCTGGTGTAGTTTTCCTATTACGAAGGGGAAAACTGGACGGCAGTTACATCATTTGCAAATCCCATACCAATTTCTTTTCCAAAAACTGCACACAATAAAAGTTGGTTCCATTGCTAGTACATTTCCACATGCCGTGTTAACAAAACTTCCCTCAGACCAATTTTCAACACAAATTGTTCCCTTGAGATTGTGAAAGTCAGTTATGTGCTATGATGAGTGGTTCTTTTAATTTGTTGGCTCAACTGTTTGATAAAGGTGAACAATTCGGTAGTAGGGACTGTGCTACTCAACAGATTGATAATAAGTAGCTGCTTCCCAAAAGGGGCTTAAAGATAACTCCTGCTGATACTTACCACTGATGACTTGTCCAAATAGCTCTTCTGGTGTGTCCCCAAAGAATGGCACACATCCAACCAGAAATTCATACAGGATAATCCCCATGGCCCACCAGTCCACTGGCTTCCCGTAGCCCTGTCTGAGAATCACTTCAGGTGCGATGTATTCAGGCGTGCCACAGACCTGCAGGATGAGTGCGGTGTCAGAACAATCACATTATTAGATAGGAATGAAATGAGAGAGGTGGATATTTTTGCCCAGTGTGCACCTGCCCAAATACCTGGAACCGTATGGATAAAGAATTTAAGAGCAGCAATTATAGGGAGACACCTATAAACACCAGGGCAAAGTATTACTTTAATACCAAAGAAGGAAAGTTGCAAATTTTGCTCCAACGTTACATCATGTGCAGTGTTTCATTCCAAATTGAAAATCCGACCTTGTTTTCAGCAGTTTTATCTATCTTATGATATTAAAAACATTTATAATATTTTAAGATAACAATGCATTGTTTGATCTGCCACGATCAGAGATAGTTTTAGTATTCATGTGACCAAAATATATTCACACCCTAGTGATTTTATAAAAGCATGATAGTCAAGATGTGTTTACCTAAAGTAACTTTACAATGAACAGATTGTTCGCACATGGTAATGAGGCATGCTTAAAGGGAAATGGGCCATGGCTTGGATTTCAGCACCCAGGATGGTACAATGCATCATGAGTTTCACTAGTACTCTACTGAGACTCCTGAATTCCCTATAAAAACAGCTTTCCATTTGTCTCTCTCACATCCTCACTTGTGCGCAATTAGATCGTTCATCTTGCTAATAGACCATAATGTTGGGGGAGGAATACAGAGAGATTGGACAGTTCAAAGAAGCCCAGGGAGAAAAATGGGAACAATCTGCACTTTATTAAATGTAAGGCTTATACAGACATCTGAACCGCCAGTGCTAATGGGGAGATGGCCTACCCAAGCTGACTGCGAATGCCGGCAGCAGCGCACCCACCTGCTTATCCAGGAACTCCCGAGCATCCTTTTCAATATGACCTTCATAAAGATTGGTGGTCATACTCATCAGTCCCACTTTAGACAATCCAAAATCTGTCAGCTTTATGTGCCCCATGGAGGTGACCAACAAGCTGTGGAGCAGAAGCACAGAGAATACAGCGGTCATTTTAAAGCCTGCTGTTGCATTTAGGTTCCTTCCTCCCCTGTCATTTTGCTAGACTCTTCAATATCTACAGGTATCAACATTATTAGAAAATCTGGACTTGGAAGGGATAGAGTCCTATAAAGCTGTTCACTCTTGCCTGAATGTAATCCAAAAGGCATAGCTAGTCTGTGTTGGAGCAGCCCCAAACAGTGTCATTACAGTCTTCTGAAATTCTAACAAAAATACAAATATAGAATTCTGACCCATTTCTGCTTTCAGAATAAGTACATAAGAAAGAATGAACTACCAATAATTCCATGTCACAGATCAGAATTAAGATAACCAAGCCATCTGTGATTCAAATGAGACATAATGGATAGAAAAATATATTGTTTATGAATTCAACTTGTAACTCTACTTAAAATTTCCATGCATTAAGCATAAAACCAACATTTCCTATATAACTGCAAGGAAATTACACTGAAATATCTGTAAAATTTTCCAAAAACTAAAAAAAAATTAGCATATACATCATGATGGCAATTAAAAATTAAAGGAATAGACTAGTTAAAAAAAAGCAACTGAAAGGAAACTGGTTAAAATTTGAGGAGCTGTCTTTAGTAATTTTCTGAAATTCTGTCATTTTCCCCTGTACTTACCAAATTTCCTTGCAATGATCATAAGTCAAATTTATCATAAAATTTTTAGCACAGTTAATGTCTTTAGATATTAGCATGTGATGTTTTTACAGTCGGCCCAATTAGTAGAGGAGCATGAAATATTCAATAAGTAGAATCAGGATGAATAGTCATTCTGGGGGGAACTGTCTATCTGTTTCTCAAATCAGAGAGCAAAATGAACCCATAAATTAAATATTAATAAAAAATTAAATTGTGAGTAAAATGGAATATCAAGTATATCATGTTGGAGTTGGGAAAGATTATCTAAAAATGACAAGACATGCAGATACTATTTAGAAACACGTCATAAAAAATAAACTTTAAAAAAGTCTGCATTATAGTCTTCTCTTATTTTCCATAAGTTATGACTGTAAGCACCAGGGTTTTTAAAAAACTACACAGTGCTCACCTTAAAATAGTTCAGTTTTGGACATTACAGAAGAAGTTTTAAATGTGCAAATCATATTAAAACAAAATGTTTTGTAGCCATGAAAACACTTTCTGCATTGTGCAAAAGTGTACATACTTATCTGGTTTCAGGTCCCTGTGTACAATTCCATAATTATGTAGATATTCCAAGGCCAAAACTGTCTCGGCAAAGTACATTCTAGCCATATCAACAGGAAGAGGGCCCATGTTTTTCATTAAGGTAGCACAATCTCCCCCTATAAAACACAGGAAGAAAGATTAAGCATGTGTAGCAACAACTCCAATTAATGCAGACCATCAGTTCAGACTGTAGAACTGCAAGGCAGAATCCTCTCCCACAGACACAGGCTCATGTTCATCAGAGGGGACTGGATGTAATCACGTTTCTAATTAAGATGTAGTATGGAAAAAATACAGATGTCTACTCAGAGAGGCAATATTCACAAGGGCAGATTTGACTCAAAAGCAGGACTAGTTGAATCATGGAAACCAGTTAACATATATGACTTATAAAACTCGGATTCTGGAACTAGGCTACTTAAGCCAAAACTGTTCCTCTTCCTCTTGCAGATGACAGTGTCCTGGTGGCTTCATTTATAATTTCAGGACACAAATGGCAGCATTATTGTGACAATTATATCACAAAAGTAAAGAATGCAGGCTACTGCCCCAAACACACTGAACATAGGATAAATGTTAGTCACTGCTGTTATTAAAAAGAGCAGAATCAAGGCTAAGGATACAAACTCTCGGTGCACTGGGAGAATTAATGGGTGCAAATCGGACAGAAGTCACGTTCATGTCTTCCACAGCCACTTGCTATCTAGTAAGTCTCCTTTTCTTGGATGTCAAGAACTTAACTGAAAGATAGCTAACATTACTTTGAGTTTTACACTTTGCTTTTCTGTTCCAACGATGACAAGGGCTTCTATCACATGCCTTGAAAATAATCATGGCCTTTACTGATCTGTTCCATTTATTATTTAGTAGCTCCCAACCTCAAAATTGTATTCTTTATTATTATTATTATTATCATCATTATTTTACTTTATGATACAGTCCCATAGGCTCTGAGATTTCCCTCACTACCTCCCCCAGCCTCTCTTTTCCCACACATTGATTTTCCCCTATATTATTACTATGTATAGTTCTTCATAAACAGTCATAAACAGTCATAAATCCATCACTGTGGACATGACAATAGCAGAGTCCAACATCCTATTGTCAAGATAAATCTAGCAGTTTCATTGGGGGTCCATATTTGATCTGGATGAGGAGATGGATACTGCATTGTATCCTCACATCTGGATGTGATAGTCTCCATTATACAGTTACTATATATCTCCTTAAATGAATAGTCACAACATAAAATCAACAACAGGAAGAAAAACAGAAATTGACAATGCCATGAAGTAAATAACATGCTACTGAATGACTAATGTGTTACTGAGAAAATGAAAATTCAAGAACCTTCTTAAAGAACATGATCTATGAGTCAGTAAAGAATATGAGGAAAAACACTGTTTTGAAGTAATGAAAATAAACACAAAAACGTCAAAATCCATGAGATACAGTTTCTGCTGATCTTTGTTGGTGAGATGTATCTCCTGTCGGCAACAGATAGATCGGTTTTGTTTTTTGATCCTTTGTTAACTACATGTCAAAAAGTCATGCCACTCAAACAAATTTGGAAAATAGGACCACCAGAAGCATTTAAAAGTTAGACCACAGATAATTTCAAAACACTTGGTTAAAAGCTAAAAATCAGGAAGACTAGCTGAATCTTTCAGAATGAATCTCTTTTTCCAAAATTATAAATGCCACACCATAGACCAAAAAGCATGCTCATTCTTTAAGAAAACCGATTGTAATGAATACTTTTATAATATGTGATTTAAAACAAGGAAAATTCTCATCACCTACATTCCAACTTTAATGAACCATCGAGAGGAGGTAGTTAAAACTAAATGCTTTTGAAAAAGAAAAGCGATCTTTTTCCAAATAGCACTGATTTTCCCTTTGCTACTGTGGAGCAGGCACTGTACAAGCAATTATCAGTAGACACTGACCAGGAAACCAGCCATCGCATTGTGTGGCTTCAGTCCCAGTTTCAACAACACCTATGAGACAGATTTCTGGGCACATGTGTGGTGTCCCCCATGTCACACTCTAACTGACCTTCCACATACTCCATGACCATGCACAAGTGGCGCCTCGTTTCAAAGGAGCAGTACATGCTGACGACAAAAGGGTTTTCTGCAAATGTCAGGATATCCCGTTCCACGAAAGCCTGCTGGATCTGGTTTCGAAGGATGAGGTTCTGCTTGTTAATCTTCTTCATGGCAAACCTCTGCCGGGATTCCTTATGCCGAACAAAGTAGACTGCCCTGCAAAGGAGCACAAGTGTTGGGACTCACAGAGAGAGGAAGTCAGGAGGTCTTGGGATGCAGTACATCATCTGATCAGCAACTGCTTTGAAGTTCAAGCGTCAGCTGGAATTCAGCTCACACCACTGGTGACAGCAGTGCAGGCCAAAATCCTCCGGCTAAACTGACTTAAACAGTTCTTTCACATAAGGTCCCAGATCATGCACAAGGCGTCCACCTCCTCTTCACTGCCAACGGCAGGAAATGGACCATGTCCAGCATGAGCTCTTTTCAAAAGTTAGCTGATGTTTTTGGTTTTTGTACAAACAAAGCAAAATATGACATATGCTAAAACAAGACAGAATTAACAAAAATCACACATGCATCAGGAGCTAGATTCTTTCTACCATCAGATAAGTGTCAGGCAGTTTTTCTTCCTAAACCCATAACTGACTGAATGACCATGCCTCTTCAAGTTTCTGGTATCTAATGGAGACTAATTTACTTCCCAAGAGATTTAGAAAGCAGAGAGAAGCAGACAAGAGGTTGTGTGAGGCTGTTCTGCCACAGTCACCTGTTTCCTCCTCACCAGTGACCTTGGCAAGTGCCACCTGTGCCTGTTTCACCTCAGAGAGGACCAGGGATGCTGCTGCTGACATCCAGTTAAAGAATCAGGCATCCTTCTTGCGAAGGACCAGACTAAGCTGCACTTGATCCTTGTCTCAAGTTTTTGCTGAGTACTCTCTAGAGCAGGTTCTGGGAGATCAGGATGCCGGACTCCCCAAGGCTGAAACAGGGCAGAGAAAAGCAGTACCTAGTTGGAGAGCACTTAAAGCCCTATGGGAAGTGCTGAGCAACAGGGAAGATGTCCTTCCTGCATGAACTCCCTTACTTGGAAGTTATTCTCACTTGTCCGAACCATGAGATAATAGGCTTGAACCTTGCAGTTAAGAGTGACCCAATAAATATAATCTATAAAGAGTGCCATCAATGGCAAGAAAGAACCAATAGCCTTCTTTCTACGGTAAGGGCTTCTGCAAACTGAGATGTGCTTTCCTCTCATTAGAATTGTACTGTCCCAGGGCCCAGAGTATTAGACTAGTGGCTAGCATCCTCATGTTGTATGTACCAGGATCCCATATGGGCACCAGTTCATATCCTGGCTGCTCCACTTCCCTTCCTTCCAACTTCGTGCTTGGTGGCCTGGGAAAGCAACAGAGGATGGCCCAAAGCCTTGGCACCTTGCACCTGTGTGAGAGACCAGAAAGAAACTCCTGGCTCCTGGCTTCGGCTCTGGCTGTTTCGGCCACTTGAGGAGTGAATCAGTGGATGGAAGATCTTTCTCTCTCTCTCTGTAAATATGACTTTTCAATTAAAGAAAAGTAAATAAATCTTAGAAAGAAAGAAAGGAAAGGAAAAGAGAAAAAGAAAAGAAAAAAAAGAAAAGAGAAGAAAAGAAAAGAAAAGAAAAGAAAAGAAAAGAAAAGAAAAGAAAAGAAAAGAAAAGAAAAGAAAAGGAAGGGAAAGAAAAGAAAAGGAAAGGAAAGAAAAGAAGAGAAATTGCACTGTCCCTTAACAGTGAGTGTGATGCGGGCCAGGACTCAACACAGGAATGTAATGCAACAAACATGAATCCCCAGCGTCGTCCACCCAGCTTAATCAACATTAACACTTTCCTCTTGAAGGTTCTGTGAATTTAGTTTTCTTTCAAGTCGTGTCTGTAAACCTTCATCTTTTTGCAATATTCATCTTTTTAGTTTACTCAAAAAAAAATCAGATATACACATTCATTTTTTATCTTTTTTGCCTGCTTTGTTCATTTTCCCCTCTTCTTTATCAATTCATCTTTCAACAACACATTAAAAAGTTCTCTCAACCACACCTTAAATAACCAAAATGATTTAGTGTTTGTTACAATGTAAATCAAATCATGTGGGAGCCAGCTAGGTGGATGCCTCACTCTTTGCAACTGACTTAGGGGTGGGACCCAAACACCGATCTGCTCAGGCTCAGCTTATTCCAAAACCTATTGCTTGGCTACGCATGATGCCAAGGTTAACTAATGTAAAGTGTTTAAAATTGACAAAACAGGAGTTTAAAAAATGAAAAGTACAGTTGTTTGTAATAAAAGTGAACGAATGAACTTTTTAAAAAATTCTTTTGATTGTGAGTTAGGAAATAAAATTACTACTGGTTTTGTATGGATGAGATTCTAAAAGTTGAAAAATAACAGAAACCAAGATTGTTCCCTTTGGGTTTCTTCAAGCTCTTACCTCATTTACATAAAAGCTGAAATTGCACAACTCGAAACAGGGCAAGCCTGATTTCTACAGGCTAGCATTACAAGGTTTATCCAAAGAGCAGCACATTCACATGTTTAGGTTAAATCTTTTAGAAATAATTTCTGGTTTTCATTAATTTCTCCGTCAATCACCCAACCACTAATTCTTTTTGTAACCACATGAAGGCTTTCATTATAACTTGTCTAGCTACTGATTGGTTAAAATTAGCAATCCACAGATGATTTGAGGTGCTCCTAATCAGATGATAGTAAGAGGATGTCAAGATAAATGCAAAGAAGCGAAGAAAATAATTTGACCCTCCACGTTGGCGAACTATGTCAACAACAGAGATTTCTGAGAAATTCTACCCTTTACTGAAATTCAGAATTCAAAATGCTGAAAAGAAAAACAAACTCACTGAATTTCCTTTATCACTCATCTATTCTTTTTATAAATTACTATTTATTTGAGAGGAAGGGAGAGAGGGAAGAAGGGAGGAGGGGGATGGGAGCACTCCTAGCTGCTGATTCACTTCCAAAATGCCTGAAGTGGCTGGGGTGAAGCAGGAACCCAACCCATGTCTCCTTCATGGGTGGCGGCAGGGACCCAATCGCCTGACTCACTCATGCCCTGCACTGAGAGAATCACACCTAGGCCCGCCAATGTGGAATACAGGAATTTCAGCCATCACATTAAACAGCCATTCTCTGATTGCCTATTCGTGAGTCACCTGGAATACAACATAATTCCCATTTGAACACACTGAGTGTTCAATGCTGAAGACCTTTAGACATGATTTACACCCTGACAAAGTTGGCATTTCGATTTTCAATCATGCATCACCAGGTCTAACACAAATGATGGCTCTGCAATGAATGTGTTTGTGAACACAGGAATCAAAGAAGGATGAACAGAAATGTAAAGACTTATGGAAACATACACAAAAAGGTGCCTCAGGTCTGCATCTGACCAGCATCCTTCCTGGGCTTGACCGGGGCACTACGCGGTCAAAAATGGCTTCCATTCTTCATTCTCAGGTTTTCGACCTTCTTGTTTCCCTTGCTATGACCTACTTAAAGTAATCAGTTAATCCGTAAGGAAACTGACCTTAAACCAATGGAAGTTAATCCTCTAGCAGAAGAAATTGCTGCCTCAGGACACTCACAGGTATCTTGATCAAGTTGCAGAAGTCAACTGGATGCTCTAATTAGAATGTGCTATAACTGGATTTTGTTTTGTTCTGTGTATCTGGCTTTTTATATTTCTGTACTGCTTAAGGAATATAACTGTTCATGCTGAAATCGGTTGTTGTCTCTCACATACACTTTTCCTTCTTACCCATAGGTGGATGTTCCAAAGTAAATCAGCAGGGAGCAAGTGATTGGGAAACACAAGGAGGGACCAGAGAGATGGACAGACACTGCAGCCGCCGGACAAAGGCTGGAAACCTCCTGATGTTAGAAAGCTGCACCGTGCCCATACGACCCCTGCGCTCCCTGGTCCCAGTGGTTGCCTTCTCTGAAAAGACCACCCCTGTTTCTGTCCTTCAATGACCTCCTTGTGACACAAGAAAACCAAACCGGGTGAAGGGGTCAGGGGGGGGGAACCACCGGGGCTCCTGTCATCGCTGAGACAAGCTTCTTTTCACTCATGCAAAACGAGATGCAGGAGGGTGGGAGAAATGGGATTCAAAGATCTGGGCCAGAAGGAATCAGGCTGAACGGGACTGTGTCTAACGTGTTTGGAATTATGCATGAGGCTGAGGGCACAGGACATGCATCCACACCAGGGAATCTGTGTGTGGCAGTGAGGATACAGGAGGGACAGGCAAGGCTAGAGGGGGAGTGTGTGGGCTAGGTCCACTCCTGCACCTGGGATTCTTCTGAGAAGGCCCCAGGATCCCTGAGGGATCAAAGAGAACACTGCAGAGCAAGCTTGGAAAAGTTGAAGAGAAATCGTCTTTTAAACTCTGGCTTTTTTTGAAAGGTTTATTCAAAAGGCAGAGACAGAGAGGTTTTCACCACCACTGGTTCACATGCTAAATGGCTGTTCACAGGCAGACCAGTGCGAGGCTGATACCAGGAAGCAGGGATTCCATCAGGGTCTGCCGTGTGGGGTGGCAAAGGCCAAGCACCTGAGCCATCTGCTGCTGCTTTCCTAGGCATGCGAGCAGGGGGTACCTGGGAAGTGAAGCAGCCAGGAGTTGAACCAGCATTGTAAACAATGGACTAACCAGCTGTGTCCCAATGCCTCTCTGAATATCTGCCTTTCCAATAAAAATAAATAAATAAAAAATAGATCTTTGTAAAAAGATGGCTGAAAGTCACAGATACAAAGAGATTAGCTGTGTTTGGAATCAAGAGTCCTCTGTAACCACAGCTCTGAAATCCCCCTGCCTCTCATGAAGGTGGGAATGTCAACAACCACACAGGGCTCTAAAGAGAATGAGCCTGGCACCCACGCAAAAGGCTCAGTGGGTGTAAAAGGATGCTAAACTTCCAGGCAATGGTCAGAAAAGTGTGAAGCAGAGAGAGAAATCATATGTCCTGATTTGATTTTGTACATGGAACTATCACCAGTTAAGAGTTTGAGAAAACCATGACGTGTGCTTAGCAAAGTGGAGATAAGCCAAAACTTTCCTCTTTGACAGGGCTGGTTCCCAATGCCATGGATTACTGAGCTGCCACAGGACTGGCCTGTGAGCTGCCCCATCACACAGACACCTTCGGAAGCCACAAGAGTGTAGTTCATCTAGCCACCAAGGAATCCATTTGCTCAACCAGTTCACAGTATCATTTTGGGTAAAACAACAGGGGTGGTTCCAATCAAACTGCAAATGAAAAATAATTAAAACATAGAAGAAATCTGTCAGAAATATAATGAGAGATTAAGTCAGATAAGAGCCAGAAGATAATTTTGGCTGATCAGTGAAGCTCCCGTAGGCAGCTGCAAGCCCATTAATGATTTGGCCTGGATCCTGAGTGTTTACTGATTCACAGCTTGTTTAACTTCTTGTATATTCCCTACCAGTCCCCAAAGTGTGATACACCTCATCTACTCTACAGTGATTTAATCGCACCACAAATGAGTTTACTCAACCAATTAGAACTCCAAATACTGCTAAGATACAAGCCTGAGTTTTATAAAAGTGGTTCACATATCATCTTATTTCAGAAACCCAGTGTCATTAACATCTACCAGTGCTTGAATGCACCCAGCCATTAAATTCAAGATGACCCATCTCTCTAGTGGAGGAGAAAATTCTCACATCATCTCCCAGAGGACAATCAACTACAAAACAAATAGCAATGAATAAACAAAAACCCACCAACAACTGCACACTAGAATAACCTTCCCAGGCTCGAGAAGTTTCAATGAGGAAATAAAAGACTTCAGTATATACCGTCAGAAAACATTAGAGGCCACTGGAGAGAATACGCCACATGACGTGATCCTGAAGGTAAATTGGTGAAGCACAGAAAGGACTCACAAACATTAAAGTTCCGCACTAAGGTAACGGTGTGGAAAACGTTCAAGGTTAAAACATACAGGAAAAAAAAAAACCTTGTGTCACAACATAAGTTGCTTTGATCTCATCTGCTCATCTGTGTGATAAACAGCAATCAATGTCAACAGGATTGTTTATTAGTCTCCATCTACAGATGGAATTAGGATGAATACTTAATTAAACTAGAACTCCTGGGCTGTCTGATCAAGCAACAGTATGTACACTGATGATCCTTCCAAACTATGAGTAATTCAGAAAGACCTTGTCAAATTCACCCTAAGCCCTAAGACAGACATTGCGAACCTATACGAATGGGTCAAGGAAGGAGCCTCATCAGTATGTTGATATCACAGCATGAAGTGCCATTTTGAAAATTCTGGCAGACTACAAAAAGAAAAAAAGAGTGTATTACTCTAACATTTTTTAACCAGCCTTACTTACACTTCACATTTTTTTTTCTACCAAGGTGGAATGCTGGTCGGACAGAAAATGCAAGCTAATCTTCAGGACATAATGGTGTCTATTAAATCTATATGCAATTTACACTTTCCAAAGGGCTAGAATGAAGGAGGTAGAAACAGCAATGCCTAAAATTTTCCCGTTACTTTAGTCACAAAGTCTTCCCTTCCAACAGTTACTTGGCAGTCACTTGATATGTTTGCTGAGGAGTTTGCAGTAAGAAATTATTTTGGCTGCACTCGTAGAGGGGGAGTGGTGATCTGAAAAGTCAGATCCTTACACAACACCTATTTGGCGCAGACACTTGAAGAACAAACGCAGCACCCAGCACCCGGCTGTTTAAGCAGGCAGGAGAGAGCTTCGCTTGAACTACTCACCCATAGGCTCCATTGCTAATCAACTTAATTGTTTCGAAATCACTTTCTCGAGGTTTCCTTCGAAGTTTCAGGGAAGCATTTGAGCTCTTGGAAAACAAAACACAAAAGATATTTCAGAATTTGAGAATGCTACCTGAATGGCAACACAGATAGAGGGGAATACGGGACATTTGCTCCAGGGAACTGGGGAATACAGTGGGGCCAGGTCATTCGTAGCAGTGTTGATGAAGCTGTGTCCCCGACTCTCACTGAGCTGCACTCCACCGAACCCACATTTCCACATGGGGAGAACATCCAACTTTTTGGAAAAAAATCCCAATTTTAGTTTTTCCCTGCAAACTGTTTGCATCACTGTCCATCCTTGTCAATCAGCATTTTGAAATTTGATCCCATGTGGCAAATCTTCCTGCTGATCTCAGTTGATGATGTCTGGGCTGGCATGGCTCTTCATGAGGCCTTTCTGCCTAGGGCCAGAGTTGGGCTGTTTCTGTTCGGAACAAACAGCACCCAACACACATGCAGCTCAAGAGCCTACAGAGTCTGCCTTCCTTACAAACCAGAAACCATACCATGGTGGAGATAACAGTTCTCCAAACAAAATTTCCTTAAAATGTTAAGCCCAAAGGATAGGAATAAACAAAATGCTTTTATTATTAAAAAAAATCCTGTTAATTCTGGCACTGACATCCTTATACCATCTTGGCTCCCCTGTGCATACTCAGAATTCTCTTTCTATTGCTGTAGAAGAAACTGCACGACTACCTGACGGCCCTTCCACTCAGCGTTGTCATAACTGACCGTGTTGTCCCACTCTTTTCCCACTTTCAGCATCTCAGCTCAACTTGAGGACCTGGGCATCCTGGGCTTCTACAAGGACAACAGACCCAACCCCTGAACTCTGGGCCACCTCACCTCTTCAACCCCAGACCCCAGCCTGACCTTCAGAAAACACTTTCACCTTGGGGCCATCACTTGTTTTGCCCACCACTCCCAATCTAAGCTTTCACAGCTGTGGACAACAGGGCTCTCTGCACAAGTCCCTGTGACTCATTAACCATTTCCCATCCCATTGATGTCCATGAATGAGGCTACATCACCAGACCTCTAGCAGAAACTCCTCTCTGAGAGCCAGAAGGCATCAGAACTCACACATCAGGGCCAGTTTGATGGCTCCTCTTGGATATTTCCAAGGAAACTTAATCTCAGAGCATGCAAAATTACAACAGTTGTGATAATGCAATTAAGAAAACAGGTTATCATTTATTACGCACTACATGATAGTGTCCTAAAAATTTTTCCATCTGATTGGGCCTGATGTGGTAGCCTAGTGGCTAAAGTCCTCATTTTGTATGTGCCACGATCCCATATGGGCACCGGTTCTAATCCTGGCAGCCCCGCTTCCCATCCAGCTCCCTGCCTGTAGCCCGGGGAAAGCAGTCGAGGATGGCCCAAAGCCTTGGGACCCTGCACCAGCATGGGAGACTTGGAAGAGGTTCCTGGCTCCTGGCTTTGGATCGGCTCAGCTCTGACCATTGTGCTCACTTGGGGAGTGAACCAGGGGATGGAGGATCTTCCTTCTAGTGTCTTCTCCTCTCTGTATATCTGAGTTGCCAATAAAAATAGTAAATCTCTAAAAAAAAATTTCCATCTGATAATCTTGTGAATTTACGTCACAGAAGGGGAGACTCAGACACAGAATCATTTCCCACAGCTACGAAGAGGTGGTGTCAGCTTTAAATCCAGGCGAGGACAAGGTCTCCAGCGGCCAGCATCTACTCCAGCCTGTGTGTCCCCGGCACCTCTGAGCTGCCTTCCCCAGGCACTGCACCTGCTCCTCCTGCCCCACTCGTTTGCTGCTTTTCAAGATGTAACTCCGACTGGACCATCTCCCTGTGCACACACACACATGGACATGCACACACACGTCGCCACTTCCTGTTGTTCTTCAAGAGAGTGTAACCAAGCAATAGTTGACAAACAGGAGCAACAGGGACCTGGCATCCAGTTTTCACTCAAGTCCTCTCCCGTCTCTGCAGTATTCTTTGCTCTCAATGTCCAGAACATCTGGTTGTTTCTAGTATAATCTCTTCTCACCTTTCATCTCAAATGACACATACTTGAGAAATTTTTTTGAAAACAAATCGGACCGAGCTCAATCTCTTTGTGTTACAATCTGGTAAGGAATGGTCTCCCCCCATCCCCATAGATCTTACATCTCTCTCTCTGTGTATGTGACTTCCTTTTGTTAATTTCTATTTCTCTTTGATGGGAACGGGTGAAAATGGCACGCCCAGTGCCTGGCACCATGGCCTGCACATAGAGGCACAATAGACATTTGGTGAACTGATAAAGTGATGCCACAAAGCCCCCAGATGCTGACCAACAGAAAAGCCAACATCACATTTCATCCAGAGGGTACTCACACTGATAGATTCATCTGTTTCTGGTGTCTCAGCCGTCCCACTGTCATAGTTCCCCAACTGAGCCATTTCTGTGTGGGTAGAACAGGAAGCAGGGTTTAAGAAACCATGTAATTCAATAAGAGTGCTATGCTAACACAAAAGAAAAATAATGTCCCCATTATCATATAAAAGAGAAAAAAAGCTATCTTATACTCCGAAGTGCTGCCCTGGGGAAAATCTGAAATTTCAAAACAGCAAGAGCTGGCAAAGGACTCTTGAAGCTGTCCCATACACAACTGGTCCTGGGATCCCATTTCTTTTGAACATTGAGACAAAAGAACTTGAGAACTAGGCTTCTACCCCAGCTAGCAGGCTTCATGGCCTGGCATCGTTAGAGCCACTTGCAAAGGGCTGGGTGGACCTACAGCTCTTCTTACTGAGACAGCACAAGAAGTCAATCATCCCAGGCACTGACATGCAACAGAAGTGCTCTGATCCTCTGGTGCTGTGACCACTCCTTACCCAAGGCTTCGCGTTCACGGCAGGAGCGCCAGGCAATGCACTTGCAATGCCAGGGAGGAAGCCTCGGTGATGGTTAAGAGCAGTTACAGATGAAAAGATTCGTATAATCACCAGTCTAAGCACTTACTAGCTAGGGACCTTTCAACTTCAACTTCTTTCTGGGAGAGAAGGGAACAATATTCTTTATCTCTTGGAAATTTCCTCTGAGTAATATTACATATGACAATGCGTGCAAAGCGCCTAGCATGTTGACTAACAAAAATTGCATGCTCATTAAACATTGATTATTGTTTATAATTATATCATGTAAAGTAGTCGGTTCTGGGCTGGATGCCACATGTTTGACACCAGCATAAGTGCTACCCTGGTGGTCTAGTCAAGAAACAAAGGCTTTAATTGCCCAACTCGCACTGGAATGAAGCCTACATTTACATAAGTGAGTGAGAAAGCCTGATGTTTAGTGTTCATTTTCATTCTTAGATATTTTTTAAACTGTGAAACATAGCTGACAGAAAAAGAACATGAAAGAATTTTCTCCCAAACTTTGTCAAAGGTGTATTTCAAAGAAGTGGGATCAGAGGGAATCTGTTTTCTCTTTCATTACGTGCGTTTTAAAATTTTTTAAAATTCATCATGTATAATAAAACGTTGTAGGTTTTAACAACATATTTTATAGGCATCTAAAACTTCCCCAGGCTCTTTTTTTTCATATAATCATGCTCTTATAATAGCCCATTTTGGGTAAAGACAATGTATAAGGAAGAGAAAGCAAAAACAATACTCATTATGTCTTTAGATAAAAACTTCCGGGCCAGCCTGACAGCCTAATGGCTGAAGTCCTCGCCTGGCATGAGCCAAGATCCTACATGGGTGCCAGTTCATGCTCTGGCTGCTCCACTTCCCATCCAGCTCCCTGCTTGTGGCCTGGGAAAGCAGGCGAGGACAATCCAAAGCCTTGGGACCCTGCACCCATGTGGGAGACCCAGAAAAAGTTCCTAGCTCCTGGCTTCGGATCGGCATAGCATCGGCCGTTGTGCTCACTTGGGGAGTGAATCATTGGATGGAAGATCTTCCTCTCTGTCTCTCCTCCTCTCTGTATATCTGACTTTGTAATAAAAATAAATAAATCTTAAAAAAAAAAAAGAAGCCACATTTTACTTGTTAGCAAATAGATTTGAAAAACTCTCTTAAGTCAGGAAAACAAGTGTCAAGAATGAAAAGCAGAAGTCCCAGGGATGAATTTCTATGACTAGGCTCCAAACTGGTCAAAGATCACCGTTCATGCTTTAAGGCCTCCATAAAGACAGCAATGGGCCTCAGGTCCTTCCCCGCCCAAGGCCAGGCTACAGCGATGGTTCCTGCCAGGTAAGAAAACTGTGCAGAGCAGCCTTGGTCGAAATAGCAATGGCTGATGTCACCTTCGCCACCGCAGCGTGAAGACTCACTCTAATATAGTCTGACAGCCTCCCCACTCCAATTATTTTAATAAAAAAACAAATTAAAAGATGGTTCTGTTTTAAATAGAATTTCTGCTAAATAACTATTATCTGGGAAATACATATTATTTGTGAGCAGTGGGTAGTAATGGGATGGAACCTAGAGCCGGCTTTTGAAGCAGGGAGCTAAGGCATCATTTTGTAATGCCTGAAGAGATTTTTAAAACTCATCTAAATACCATTAAACATCTGCCCTTTTTATTTCATTGATTTAAACCATTTCTAAAGACTCATGATTCAAAAAGGTAAAGATGGTAATTTAAAAGCCATGGGGAAAAAAAAATCTCTCCCCAGGGAACTTTTCAGAAAAGCCAGCCACTAGTCTGTGATAAGTGATGAATCTGTTGTGGTATTGCTTTCAGTACAGTATAAATTTATCTGGCATTATCTCCCAGTAATGCATGCATCATTTCACTGGGAGCAAAGATACCAGGGCCCTCAGAGCAAGCCAAGCAGTGAACAGGCTGGAGAGGAGCAGAGAGCAGCAGGCTCCCCCCTGGCTTCAGTGGTGTGCCAGGGGGCTGGGGGGCTGGGGTGGGGTACAGACTCTCTGAGCCATCACTCGAACTCCATTACAAACAGGATAAACACTGTTTGCAAATTCAATTTAATGAACCAGGAAGACCACTTTGAACGAAGGAGTCAACGATTGTTTATGAGTCTTTTTAGACAGCACATAACCCTAAGTTATAAATAACAATCCCAAACAATACTGAACAGGAAACGGGTGGGGGTGGGGCTGGGCGAGGTTGGTTTACCAATATTAGATTTTTGAAAATCACCAACAGGAAGCTTCCTTTTCTCTGTAGCTAACAGGATTACACCTTTTTTGTTCTTCATATGAATCAGCCATAAATCCCTATATAAGCTTTACAGAAACATTTCCTCCCCCCCCCCTTCTGGCTCTCTTGTCTATAATTATTAATTTTCTGAAGACAAGTAAGAGAAATATATCTCAACATTGAACTCTGTGCAATCTACCATTGGTTTTCCACAAGAAATTTCAGTGTTAATTGTAAATGAATGGTAGTTTCCTTAACAACAACAACAACGAAAAGCGCCACAACTTCGCAAGGGCAGATATGCTCAGAGACTGAAATAGCAATCCCCCTAGGATAGGCTGGCACGCTCAGCTTGAAAAGCCTCTAGGATTTCACGCTCTGTCCCAGAGTTCGGGCACAATTCAAAACGGGGCGTGCTCACTTGCTCCCCGGGAAAGCCAGTGCAGCAAGAAAAACAATGGCCGGCCACTAAGTGCTCCCAGGGGCCACAGCTGGTGGAATGCCAGCCCAACCACAGTACTCACCTTCCAGGGGGTCTTTATTGAGCCCCAGTTGGCTAATGATGTACCTGGGAATGTCACTTTTAATCCCCTGGCCTTCTTTTGCATGACCTTCTGCCGCTTCCAATAGATAGTAAAATTCTTCAGGATCAAATTCCTAGCAGAAGACAAACACATATGGGTATCTGAGCCAAAACTGTTTGGGATTTTATGCCACAAATCCTACCTACAAAGAAAAGCACCGGGTACACATGGCTGTAGTTCTGCAGGCACAAAGGAGGGAAATGCCTTGACAAGTATAGAATCTGCACGTGATCCACTTAAAGTGTCCATTTCGCTGCAACCACATATGCATGACTAAATTAAAAAAAAAATCTGGGGGCTGCCACCATTCATTGTGTAGCAGGCTATTCTACCACCTGTGGTGCCACCATCCTATATGGATGATTCAAATCCCAGCTGTTCTACTTTCTATCCGGCTCCCTGCTTACGGCCTGGGAAGAAAGCAGAGGATGACCAAGTGCCTGGGTCCCTGCATCCACATGGGGTACCCTGAAGAAGCTCTTGGAGCCCAGCTCTGAATGATGCAGCCACTGGGGGAGTGAATCAACAAATGGGGGCTTTGTGGATCGTTCCTTCTCTCTAAAACACTTCCTTTCAAATCAAAATATATATTTTATATGTGCCTTTTATTTTATTTGAAAGCTGGAGAGAAAAAGACAGCTGGCCAGATAATGTCCATCCATTGGGCCTCTTGGCAAATGGCAGCACAGCTGAGGCAAGGCCAGAAAACCAGGGGCCTGAAGCTTGACATGGGCTGCCAGGTAGGTCGCAGTGACCCACGCAGTTACACACTGCATCCTCCGGTGCATGGCAATGGAAAGCTGAATTTGGAAGTGGTGCTGGGACCCAGCAAGGCTCTCTGGTGAGCTCTGTGAGTACCCTGGCAACATCTCCACCACTGGGTCAAGTGTCTCAGATATGCTTTCTAATCACCCTTTGCAGCAAAGTTTGAAAATCTGAGAATTCATCCAGAAGGTTCAGTGTTTGTTTTTGGTATTTTTTTTTTCTTCATACAACCAGTCTTGGAAGGAATAAGTAAGATCAGAAAATATTTCCTCCCTAGTTTTTTGTTGTTGTTGTTGTTGTTTGTTTTAGGAAATTCAGAGACATCTAAAAATATTAGAATAAAAAACTTCAAATTACCCTTTTTGCTGATTTAAAATTTTTTTCATATTTACAACGCCAACATTAAAAAAAACAGGATATTGGGCCCGGCGCGGTGGCGCAAGTGGTTAAAGGTCCTCACCTTGCCGCCCGGGATCCCATATGGGCGCCGGTTCTAATCCCGGCAGCCCCGCTTCCCTTCCAGCTCCCTGCCTGTGGCCCGGGAAAGCAGTCGAGGACGGCCCAAAGCTTTGGGAACCTGCACCCGCGTGGGAGACCCGGAAGAGGCTCCTGGCTTCGGATCGACATAGTATCGGCCCGTTGCGCTCACTTGGGGAGTGAATCATCGGACGGAAGATCTTCCTCTCTGTCTCTCCTCTCTGTATATCTGCCTTTCCAATGAAAAAATAATAAAAATAAATCTTTAAAAAAAAAAACAGGATATTAATGCTTTCATTACCTTTGTTTGTTCTACGATTTTGATATATCTTTCCTACCATACACTTTGGTTTTCTTTTTTTTTTTTTTTAACAGATCTACTTATATACTTATTTGAAAAGCAGAATGACAGGCAGAAGGGAAAGAGGGAGGGAGGAAAGGGGTAGAGGGAGAAGAAGAGCATCCAGCTGCTGGTTCACTCTCCAAGTGCCTTCAAAAGCCAGGGCTAGGCCACACTAAAGCTGTCCTCTGCTGCCTTACCTAGCAGACAGGACCAGAACTGGCATTCAGATGTGGGTGTGGGCATATCCAGCAGGGCCTTAACGCACTGAGCCTCAAGCATAACCCTCATGTATTCAGTGCTATGTTCATGGCTAGGAGAACTTAAAAGTGACATTTTTGAAACTTTTTAAACAATTATTTCAAAGGCAAACATTCATATGCATACATATGCATACATATGCTTCAGGCGCTTGTAGCAGCCAGGGCTGGGCTGGGCTGGGCTGGGCTGGGCTGGGCTGGGGTCAGGACTAAGAAAGCAATCCAGGTGTGCCAAGTGTGTGGCAAGGGCCTAATGACTGAAAGCATCATTGGCAAGTCCCAAGGTCTATACTAGCTGAAACCTGGAGGCAGAAGCCAGAGGTGGGGATTGAACCAGGGCCAAATGACCAGAAGCATCACTGACAAGTCCCAGGGTCTATACTAGCTGAAAACTGGAGGCAGAAGCCAGAGCTGGTGATTGAACCGCAGCTCTTCAGTGTGGGATACAGGCATCTTCGTTAAACACCTGCTCCCTAAGAGGTGCTCTCATGAGATTCTATAGTCCTCTACAATCATTCCGACATCCACAGCTTCATATTTATTCAAAGGTTTGACCAAAAATGAAATTTTCACCAAATAAAAAAAATTTAAAACAGAAAAACAATCACTGAGAAGAAAATAGTGACAAAGAGGAAATGAGATGTAAAATTCACACTCCTTCAGGTTTGAAAGAGAGCCTGCTCTACTCTCCAAAATGGTTGCTAACTAGCACCGATCACTAACATTACACCTTTTGAAAAAAGTAATAATTATAAACACAGGTCACCATCAAACAAATCTCTGATTTCCCTCTCTCTGCATCCTGTCAACTCCAAAAAAGTGGGGCATGGCAAGGGTTTTAAATTAGCTGTTGCATACAGTAATTATGCTGAGATTGGTTTAGAGGCATTATTTCATATCATCTTTCTAGTATGACCAGAATATGATAGGATTATCACTTCATACAGCACAAGTCCCAGAATTCTTTCTTAAAATCAGAAAAGACAAGTCACACACGGACGCCATCATACACATTCACACGCTGTAGTTCCTCCTGACTCTTTCCATTTAGCTCTGGCGTTTGAAGCCAAATGAAACTGGCGCTTTCTGATGGCCTCTGCTTTCCCACAGTGCCAGTAAATAATGGAAGTCACGTGGAGAGACACATACCAGGCACTCTAATAACCGAGCAGGCCGGGCAATGACAATCAGGATCTTTCGGACGAGCTGCTTAATAAAGGCCAGTTCGCCACTTTCGGAGCGGTCGTGAGCCTATGGAAAAGCAAGGGAAAGAATGATGACACAGGGCAGCTCCAGTGAATGGCAAAGACATTCAGGAAAACAAGCTAATTAGGTCATTGCAAACAGTCAAAATTGAGTGACTTAAGTGATAAAAATATTCTTCCAACACAGACAAGCAGGCATTATCTGCAAATACAGAATAAACTTTAACTGCAGAACTTAAAACTCAAGCGTAAGAGCTCTTGTCATGAACCATGAATGAAGGAGACATTAGCAGCTTAAAATACTTTAAGTACGTGGTGCAGGTGGAACAGGCAGCCGATCCCGACCCTAACTTTGAACATTAAATTTCTCAGAAGCATGACATGGCTAAAGGACTGATGTCACTACTGTGCGCATCCCCCCATTCGCAAAACATTTACATCTACAACACAATTAGCCTATAATTAGTTTTTAACCACATGGAACAGCGTGTAATGCTTACCTCAAATTTAACTGCATGCCTACACTTGGATGTATACAGCAAGACTCAACTCAGGAAAATTTAACCCATTTAAAAATAGTTAAATAAATGTTAATTTTAAATGTTGCTTTAATCCAATAAATATTCTGAAAGCAAGTTGCTTTTTAAAAAGATCACTGAAATATTTAATGATAGTATTTTAAGAAGTAAGGCAGATCTACATCAAGACAATCATAAAACGACTTTAGAAGTTACTACCAGTAGTAAGATTTCTTAATGTTTAACCTAGTATGAGTTAATTCCTTCTAATAACTTAAAAATATTTATATAAAAAAAACTAGGCAGAACCAAGTTACGAAAGATGATGGAACTTAGAAGCCCATGTCTACTGACTTTAAGGCATCGAATCAAAGGCAATCTTCCAAAATACATAGAAACCATATATGGACAAAAGCACAGCAGCTAACATTCAAAACAGAACAGAGAAGATGAGTACTGGTAAGTAATTGTAGAACACAATATGCTCAAAGAAAAAGCAAACCAGGACTTGAAGTGTAGGATCTCAGTAACAAGTAATGAGACCAGGACACACACAGCACGCACCCTCAACTTTCAAAACCTGCATTTACATTTTCTAGATAGACTTTAGAAGAAATAACGAATGCTAAGAAATCTGGTTATATGTCTTCCTTATAATTTAGTAAACAGAAAAACTTAGAGATAATGCAAAACCACCACCTAACTTCTTGGCTGATAAGTTAGCCTCAATACTGAAGTTTTTTTCTACTTTCACAATTATTGCTTTACAAATGACAAAACATGAACAAAATCTAAGCAGCCCCAGGTCACTTTTATAGTCTCCAGGATGGAAAACGTGAACTTGATTTGTAAATAAAACTTAAAAACAGTCCACTTATGGCTCTATTCACAAAATCCTAAAACAATCAGTTCACTTCAACTTTTTCCTACTAAGAATTATTATACACCACCAAGGCAAAAGATAAAGTCATCAATTCAAATAACACTTTATCCACTCATATTAAGGGAAGAGAAGGGATTCTATGAAAACAACATCAAATAAAAAGGCAGCACTAGCCAGGGAAGAGGACCAGCTTCTTGGTTGTTTGGGGGCAAGCCCTGTGGGGGAAACATTAATGGAATCCTGCCTCTATGGTTTTAGTATTGGCCTCCGTAAAAGAACCACATGATCCAGCCTTGAGAGGAGGTTGGTGTTTCCCAAATGCTTCATTTTCTTTAGCTAAATACATCTAACAGGATGGTGGGTATCAGAGTTCCTCTGAAACTAACCTAGACCTCAGGACTTGAGCAAGCATCAGCTAAAGCAAGGTACTGACATTGCAGGATGACTGCTTGTATTACGCAAATAACAAATGATGGGAAAATGGTTGGAAGGCGGTTCTTCTGGGCACAGAACATCACACTGGGAACTGATGAGAGTACCACGAGGACAACTGTGCAAGTTCCTAAGATTCAGCTGAGCTGGAAGGGACAAGCTTCCCAGTAACCAATCAGCCCTGAGATCTGGAAGGACACTACACATGGGAATCTGAAGACAGTGTTTAATTCTTACAAATGGAATAACAGAAAATGTTTATCTGTAAACCATTAGATGTTATTCATACCTGCTTCTCTAACCAAGAGAAATTTCTCTCTATAGTAAAAATTATCCATTACGTAGCTTCTTCACATGAATTTTGAAACTCTATTTTTTCCTTTTCTTTTTTGGTTGCTAAATCTGCCCAGTCTACCATAAAGACAGCAAAGTCAGTGGAAGATTTCACTATCCATAGCTGTGGCAACCAATGCTACCCTCCCAGGGAAATGTTATGAAGGAAGGAAAAATGCAGAAATTAAACCAGTGATGATGGTCGCCTCCTCCAACAGAGCTATGGGATCCCAGGAGGAACAGCCCCCAGAGGCTCACTACTATTTTGGTTTGCCTCTTCTGTTCACAAGTGTAGCTAATATTTCACAAAGGGGATTTTTAAGATATCCCCCTAAGCAAAAACAGGCAGAGAGCTTCCATCATTTTCCAGGTGCTGATTTGATAAAAATGAAACAACAGAATTAGGTGACTTGACGAGGTGGCACAATGTATAAATATTTCAGCCATGCTGATATGGTAACTTCTTCCTTCCTCAACCCTACCTAGTTAGGCAGGATCTGAGAAACAGTAGGCATTCAGAGGGGCAGCAGGGAGTGGAAGACAATGCTGGTTCCTCATAGAGCCCACCATCTACTGATGAAGGGAGATGCAAGAGCTCATTACAATATACCGCAGCTAAAATGGATTAGAGGGGTGGAATACCACTGTGGCCCATGTTACACTTCTTAACTGCAGATACAACTCAGTGCTGAAGGGTGTTAGGTATTCTAACAGCTGTGTAGAAGTATGGATGTGTAGGATTAGGACTGAAAGAAGTGTGGTCCAAAGAGGATGAGGTCTGAGTTAGGAAGTTTATAGAGGGGGCAGGGGTCAGAGAGGAGTTGTAGAAATATTCAAAGTGCATTATGCGAGCCTAGTGAGAGAGTGCTTGATGGAGGACAGGAGGCAGCCAACCAGAGCAGCCTTCTGGCAGGAAATCAGATAGATGGTGCTGCCAAGGATGCGGGCAAAGAATGCAGAGGAAGCAGGTTTGGTGAAGAACCGTTGGGCATTCCAGCATTGGAATCTTCTGTTGGATCTTCTGTTTCAGTGGACTGTGCAGGTGGGAAGATGTCCAAGGGGTGGACAGATAACATGAATGTGAAATCGGAAACAGCTGCCTGTCTAAGATATGGGGTGCCATTTAAGCGGATATGGCAATGAGCCCAAGAGCTCTGTCAACATGACAGCATGACAGTGTAGGGTCTAGGAAACTCACTGGTGGAAGGCATGAGCTGGAAGAGGAAATCCTGCTGAGAGGCAGAGAGCAAAGTCAGACAGGTACAAGAATAGGGGAAAATGCTAAAAACAAAACAAAAACAAACCAAAAAAGGAGGCAGGGCGGTTGGAGAGAGAGAATACATCACCACTGGATACAAAAATGTTCCAGTAAAATATCCAGCAGATCTGAAGTTAATAAGGATAGCAGGGAGTTTAGCGGGAAAAGACCAGTTCCCTGCATTTGGCAAATACTGGCCTTCTTCAACGTATGACACACTAGTCTAGGTAATGCAGCAGACAAGTATTCCTGTGCACAGAGACTTTGCATCCTAGTACCATGCTACTGCTCAAAGTGTGGTCCGCACTTGGGAGTGGAGTCAGCCTACCAACTATCAGCAGTGTGAGGAGGCAAGTGCAACTATTGACAGTAGCGATGAGAAACACGGCAGAGTACATGCTGATGGGATACCCAAGTGCACGATCTTCCCGCTGCAAATCTGTGTGCGTTTTAAGTTTTGAGGGGACTAGTCCCTGCCAAATTGATCATCTGCAATGATACCCCCCAGACAATGCATTCACCGCCACCCCTGAAAGACACAGCATTAGCAGGTTTCCATAGAGTAGAACCTACGAAACGGGAACAGGGTATATGGGAAACTGTGTTGGTGAATTCTGGGTGGGGAAAGGGCGAGAGAAACAGTTAACCCAGGAGGAGAGGGCTCTATCTCAGTCACCATAACTGTAGTAGGGACATTACTGAAGCTCAGATTTCCCCAATATTGGGGTACTAGTATGTTAAAATTATATATTTAAATTCAAAGAAATTCATCTATGACTTGTTTCAATGATACAATTTATATGCCCTGTAAGAGTCAGAAATATGATACATCTAAATACTGGGGCTAAATAGGTTTCACACACGGGCTGTAGAATTACAAACTAAACGCCATTCCACCATTGCATACCCTCTTCCTGCCCCACGTGCTATCAGGAGTCAGGCATACCAGCGGGAGGCAAAGGCAGGTCCCATGTTTATCTGTCATTTTGGAAATTGGATATTTTGTTAGAAGAAGAACTGACACCACTGGAAATGCAAGTTACCATTTACTACCCAACACCATCGCAGGTTAATTAATAGGACACATAGCCTGGAAGAAGCCTGCAGTTTCTCATTTAGCTTTTCCAGATATGAGAACCAGATAGTGCCATCAAATCACATACCCATGCTCAGGCAATTTATAACTTTATGGTGAAGGGGAAAAGAAATCACTGCTTCAAAATCCTTCACAATCCACTTATCCCAGAGTCATAGATTGTTGGGTCCCAAGGTTCCTGTAAAGGTTATTGCATTAACTTTCTATTACTCTACATAACGACCAGAATCAATTTATAGCAAGCAGCAATCAGCTGGGTGTTTCCCCTTCTCCGTCGCTGCCCTGGAATGCGAGCTCCGTCTTACAACTACAACAAGCAAGCAAACGGTCTCATACTTTTTTTTTTTTTTGCCAGGATATCTGCAAAAACAGATTAGAAAACTTTATACGACGCATGGTTCTCACCTCCTGTAGCAACTTATCTAACTTGTGCTGCAATTCAAGGAAGTATCGCGAGGTGATGAGACCCTGGTGGGATTTGTCTAAGCAGTCCCGGGCCAGCTCAATAACCTGATGGTGAGTGAAACTCAGCACTCCGTCTGCCAGGGGCAGGACACTGTCGGGGGAGTAACTGCTGATGATCTCCTTCAGGCGTTCCTCCATCTGCGCGGTGGCCTACTCAGAGTCGAAACACAAGGAGACACAGTCATCAAGTCAGAGAGCTCCAAAACCGAATTCTAGGCATCACATTCCAAAGATACCTCATTTCTGTGATTCTATAATGGTGCATACACTTCACCAGACGTTTGTCCAAACCCCTTGATTTTACAACACTCAGAAGGGCCCTCATGTGCACGCAGTCAACGGATGAGAATCAGGAGTCCCTGTCAGTTCACTAACTATCTCTCTGTTTTGGGATGCTGATAACGGAGGAGGGCTCTGCCTATGGAAATAGGGGAAGGGGGCATATGGGAAATCTCTTTATCACCCACTTAATTCTGCTGTGATCAAAGTTTTCAAAATAAAAAGCAGAAAAGGAAGCAGCAACGTCTCCGCCTTCCAGCGTGGAATGTAGACAATAAAAAATTTAAAGAATAAATGTGCAGGAATACTGGCAGGATGCTTTCTTCCTACACCCCATCTAACTACAATGGGTCATCTGAGCTGCTTCAAATGAACTCAGATCATACCGAACCACCTTGTGCTCCTTTTAGATTTGAAGCACTTCCAGGTGGCCGGAAAAGTACATCAAATGTTTCTTTAGGTTTTACTTAAAAATCAAGACTATGGCTAGAGTTCCACAGGGGAGTCCAAAGGTTGTTTTCTTGGGTAAGTTTTAATATACCAGGAGTACAATCTTATATCCTTATCAAGAAGCACATCGCATTAAAAAAATAATAAGGTCAAGGGAAGTACCTTGATGAAACACACCCAAAGTTTTATATTCAAACCTCATTTCTTTCCCTGAGATCACCAAATGTCTCTTCAACACCCCTGGATGCATTCATTTTGTAAGTAGCGGGATTCCTGCCTCCTGCCCCTCTCTTACGGCAGGCCTGCCTTTAGCAGGCACAGTCAGTATCTGCTTCCCCAGTGACATGTGAGGAATAGCTGCGACAGCTTTAATCAATGACATCAATGTTGGGTTCATTACAAAGAATAAGTGTTCCACTCCTGATTTATGAAACCAGAGATTTCCTTTTATTCTCTTGCCTAGGGTAATCAGCAGGGAAGCGGGGGGTGGGGGAGATCATCAGAAACAATGCAGAAAGGCTGCCTTTGCCCGACATTGTGGGAACGCTTTGGTGGGAAACAGCTGGAAATAAGGAGAGGTGACAGGGACGTTCAGAGAGCAGTTTCTTGCAGTCAGGGAGCGAGGTAACAATTATTTACCAATTCCTCTCAGGTTCAATTCAAACTCCTTCTACCAGCCTGACTGGGGAACACTGCAGCAGGACTGTTCCTTCTAAATTACAGAGTTAGAAGTCTGAGGATTAAAAGGATGGGACACCAATAAGTTTTTTTTTTTTTAAATAGGCAACTTTCAGGATATACCAATCTACTAGATTTTGGGGTAGAAAATGTTCTCTGCTTGGCAAAAGAGCAGCAGGTGCATAAGTTGGAAGGAGCAAGAACACACAACCTTATAAAGTAGACTTCCCATGTGGCTTCTTATCAGGCCCAAATGCAGGTGGCACTCAAACAGCAAGGCTTGCCTTCCACCCAAACGCAGACAGCAGCTGGCTGGTAGCAGTTCTCAGCTTCAACTTCTTTGTGTTGTACAAGCCGAATGCTGCTTTACGTCGCTTCCTAGCTTGGATCCTTCCGCTCTCCTAACCAAGCCACCTTACAGATGCTACTCCCCCTCCCCCACTGCCCACTGTCCATTCGGTTAGATGCTAGGCATCTTCAATTCAATTCATTACCTTGGGGAATCTTTCTTTGTAGACATGGTTCATCATAATTATTTCATGGTCGCAGCAGGCAGGAGATCGTCCAGGGCTGCAAGCAAAGCAAATTAGCCTTTTAAACTTGCCACAGCATGAAATGAAAAGAAGCTTTGTATTTATAAACAGTCAGTTGTGCATCAAGAGTGCTACGGAACCTTTGTATGAAAAGCATTTGGTACGAGGGAACGCACGGCAAACTCACTCATTAGTACCCATGTAGACACATCAACTCACAAATGCAGACACTCTACACAGGATTCAAAAAGAAAGCGCAAGAAGTGGAATGCCACAAAAAATCATTACACTTACAGCACTATTCAGAAAACGTCTTTAAATCGAGATTATATTCTGCCTATCATTGGCGCTTACGGAGTTCCTGAAGCCAATTAACGAATTACTATATAAAACAGAACAGGGTAGCAAGAAACAGCCACATGCAGGACATGTTTAACAGTGCAATTTCACACTTCTCCCATACACCTGCGCTCCGTCACACACCACCAAAGAGGCCTGAGTCTTCCGTGGCACAGGTGTCATAATTGAAATCCATTTTCTAACCTAGTGAATATTTATCTGGGATGCTGAGCTAGGCGTTACATGCCAGATGAACGGAGGCATACAGCTGGTGTGCAATTCTATTTATTTCAAGAGCAGGCCTGTGCTCCTCCCTGACTGTATACAGCGGCATTACTTTAATGTATTTGTATTCCTATGTGCAATTCCTAGGCATACATGCTATTCTTGGACATCCCTTAATAAAAGCAGAAAGGGTGCCCATGTGGTAAAGCACAGTGCCCTCGGGTGAAGTGGCAAACCTTTTTTGCTCTGTATCTCAAAATTACCTGAACCATTAATATCAGTTTATGACACTAAAGAAAGGTACAAACACAAAAATGTAATCAAACTGTGATATCCAACACCTATTAAAAACCTATGTTTTAAAAACTACTAAAATTCTAAGTATGTCAAGTATACCAAGCCTGCGACATCAAGATCTTGTGGTGGCACACGAGAGGTCCTGCCCTATTAGGACAAATCCTGAGCAGTCTGGTCCTTCAGGGCAGCCACAGCTCGTCGTCCATGGCCACATCTTGCCAGGGCATCATGTGCCGTAATGGACCCAGTGCTGAGATAGAAGGGCCATTTGTCCCAGACGCCTGTTTCTGGGTGCAATGTGCAGAGCAGGTATGGCCTGTATTGCAGCCAGACTTCTTCCTCTGCCCAATTTTGTGCACTTCTACTCCTCCCACCCCCAGGTGTTGATCCCCAAAAGCACCCACTCTCTGATAAACATCCCGAACATGAGTCTGCTTCCTGAAGAAACCACTGGCAACACATATTGTTTGAAACAATATAAACCAGCCCCATTTAATGTTCAATGGATTATATTTCGTACCCAAAAATTTAGTTGAAACAAAGAAATACAGGTGACAGCAATTCTAAACATTTGTTAGAAAAAATAAGACTAATCATGGAAAATAAGAATAAAAAGATTGGAGTGGACTTTTATGAAATCCAAAATAACCTCTTATTTTTGCTGCCTTTCTTTTTCAATAGAACATTAACCACTTAGGCATCATAAACACATTGCCCTGAAATTTGAAAATTTGAATGATCTTCGGGTAGGTGGCCGAAGCCAGGATCATCGTAACCAAGCAAAAAAGAGTGAAAATTCAAGAGATAAACAGCAAAATGTCTTTTAAGGATAATAAACAGTATGAGGCACCAATCCCAAACTCCCCCATTACATGTGGATTAGAGAGCCAAGAGTCTTGGACAACACTGGCTGAGTGAAGAGTGTTCAGTGCAGTCTACACACCTCAGACTTCGAGATCGGGGCCGTAGGGGAGTGTTCCTGCATCTGCTCTCAGCAGCAATGCTTTCGGTGGTGCAAAAATGTTTTGATAAGAAGTGTAATTCATCTGGCGTCGGTTGGTATGGCAGCTGATGTAACTTCTCCTGGGAGGAGCAGGATGACTGAAACAAACCAACAGAGGTCACGTGACTATCTCACAAAGACATTCTTCCAATAGAAGAACGCTAAGGCAGGGTGGGTGGGAATACAGGCAGTCCCTTCCAAAACACATGCTGGAGGAGTTCAGTCCTCTGGTGAGGTCTTCTAACAATGGAAACTTCATCCAACTGTGGTGTTTCAGTCAGGTCATTAGGAGGCAATGGGGAGGAGAGGTTATCAGGGTGATGTGACAAGATGAAGATGACATCAGCAACACACCTGCTCTCCATGACTCTTGCTGTGTAATGCCTGGCACTACTGCGAGACTTGCCAGTGAGAAAGCCCTCCTCGGGTGCAGGTCCTTCACCTTGGACCAGAACTTCAGGCCAAGTCTGGTCTATTTTTCATTATAATATATGCAGTTTGAGGCACTGTATCACTACTAACAGCAGAAAATGGGCTAGTAGGATATAGTTTCTACACTATAGTTACAACTATTGCCTAAATATGACTCCTTGATGCTCTCTCAGAAGTTGAAATCTCTCTACCTCAATTCAGAGCAAGACTGGGTGTAATCACTCTGCCTACAATTGGAAGTGGGATCCTCAAGGAGGCCACACAGCTTCCCTTTCTAATGCATGCTGCCCCTGGTTGCCATTACCGTCAACATGTCAACATGTGCTATGGGTGAAAGTAGGGAGGAACGAAGAAGATAATGGTATTGTTTGAAAATTGGGGATTACAGTATCTTCCTTTTTGTGTGTGTGTGATTCAGAGACAGAGCTAGGCAGAGCTCCCATCAACTGGTTCGCTCTCCAAATGCTCCAAGAGCTGAGGGCCAGGAACTTAACCCAGGTACCCCTTGTGAGCAACCATTAACTTGAATTTTATTTGATATGTGGCAGCTATTATAGAAATGTACAGGAATGAATTGGACATCCTGTGATATGACTGCCGTTTACACTCCTGTGGAACTATGATCTTTCTGCTTTTTTACTTTGCTGAATATTATGGTGTGTGGTGAATTAAGCCTGTGATTTAGAGTGAACTGAAATCATGTCTCTGCAAAAATTAAAAGTCAGGAAGGGAAAGGAGGGTGATGGAGAGATGGAGGGGGGCGGAGAGAGAAGTGACGTTTATCTTCTCAGAACTGTCCCCATGACATCCATGCAAAATCCATTCTCTATTTCAACAACAAATTAAAAAACCATAAAGTGACATTTATTTCATCTGTTGAATGTGAATGCTGATTCAGGTCGCTGAAGATAATTGCTGCTGGCTCAGTGCCACTACGCTACTGCATCCAGTCCAGGGGTCATGTTACGTTTCTAACAGTGCAGACACTTTCCCAGACACGCCCAGTTCAAGAGTTGCACATAAAATATCACGGCTCTGGGCTTGCACAGGAGCAAAACAAACTTACTGCAGGGAAAAGCCCCTCCACGGAAGGAGATGGGAGCAAGAGGCTGGCTAAAGTCAAATTTTAAGGGTTACCTGTACGATTTCATTTACCAAACAATTTAAAATTCACTTTTAAAATCAGTTATAGTGAATATAAAAATCGTTAACATCTGTTAAGTCGAGACAAATTTTATGATCATATACATAGCTAGGTCATTTAATATGGTAAGGAATGTGGCCCATGTTTAGGGATAGAGTATATGCTAACATAAACGATGTAATGGTGTAAGTAATAGTAATAGAAACTAATGCATAGGAACTAGGAGGCAAGGAACTTATGGGGGGAGAGGTCCCATTTCACCCCAGTTGGAACAAGCAAATTGTTAAGGAAATAGTTCCACGTGACACTAGGATGAACTGGGAGCAATGGAGACAAGTAGAGGCCAGCCAAAGGACTGAGGCTGCTTCCAAAGGTGTCCTGTGAGACAGCTGACCACTACAGGCTCAACTTAGCGGAGAGGAAGGACTTGGAGAAGACCCTGCCATGTCTGTCAGGAGGGCCTTCAGGAGCAGCAGGTGTGGCCAGCATTGTCCACAAGAGCCCACTGCCCCTAGCAATGACACCTCCACTGGCCCACATGTCCTGGGGATACCACCCGTAAAAGTCTGAAGGACCAGTTTGAGGCTCTCCTGGTGTGCTTCCAGGGTTCCTCATCTTCCAATCACTCCACATGACTTCTGACTACACCATAAATCAAGTTGACTCTCAAGGAATGGATATTTACACAAGAAAAACTGTGGTTTTTCATTCTCAGGGCAATTGGAGTTGCAAAAACATCCTCTGAGTCACAGCGCCACCCCCAGGAAGCATGGAACTTCTCAAGGTAACCAGCCTGCAGAGTACAGGCCCATGTTTCGACTTGCTACTTGTTAAAAGTCATATAACTTCACAACCATACCTCATGTTTGTGCAAATTTATATTGCTATTTCCATTCCTTCAGCAGAAAAGAACTCATCTGGCAAGAAATACAGAAGGGAATGCCTTCCTACCACTGCAATTCCAAGTTACTGACTTCAAATGTAGAAATTACGATCTGAATATTATCTTGGAAAAGTTCCACAAGTTAACTTTAACTGCAAGACCCAATGTTAAAAGAAGTTGCGATACTAATATCCTCTTGGAGGGCTGATACATTTCATATGACCAAATCTTTCCAATTTCAGAATAAAACATTTTTAACACTTGGCAGTCTGCAGAATATTCAAAGAATAAAGATACAATAATATTTATAACTCCATAGAAGTGTCCTGAAGTCCTGCTAACAACATAACCATACATAAAAGCGAAATTAAAGTTTTCTCAAAGTACATGCTATATTTTTATATATCTATGTTGTTACTTTAAAATACATAAAATGAATTTCTGATTAATTAACTGACAGCAATCCAGGGAAATGATCATCTTCTCAGGAATACTTTACGTTAGACTTTAAAAAAAAAGAATTAATTATTAAACAGTTTTGCGTAACTTTTGTCCCAATATGTAAAGACCAAGAACACACATAACACACATACACACACACAACTGAGGAAAACGAGAAATGCTTTTCTAGTTTTCACTCATTAACTTTTCTTTAATCAAGAAACAAAAAGGAGAAAAGGTGGCTGCATTTTTACACAACCGCTCCTCTAGTCTACAAATTAAACAATTCTGCTAAGTCTTCAGGCAAAAGAAAAAGTAATTTTGGAAGCTAAAATTTCATTTTGAAGAAAAAAAAGAGTAGGAACACTGAGATCAAAGTACAGCGCCTTTTTAAAAAAAAAAAAATAAAATAAAGCACTCTTTTGGAAATGCGCTGCTGGAAAATGTGGAGCCTGTGAGTCTGACTCAGAACTCGTCTGGGAGCTGCTGCTTCCACACACATGGAGTTAGGAGGCAGCACTGGCGCCATGGTGACTGACGGCAGGCTGGTTTCTTTATCAGAAGGTCACAAATGGCACACGAGGGCCAGAGTTGTGTAGCATGTTAAGCTGCAGCCTGTAGCATTGTCATCCCCTGCAGGTGCATGTTGCACTCCTGGCTGTTCCACATCTGTTACAGCTCCCTGCTAAAGCAGCACAAGGTGGCGAGGTGCAAAATCCAGAAGATGTTCTTGGCTTTCAGTCTGGTCCACTCCTGACTGTTGTGGCCACTTAAAGAGTGAACCAGCTGATGGACGGTCACTCTCTGTAGCTCTGCAGGCCATGTAAAATTTTGAAAAAGTTCAGGGAACCCAGGGCCTTGACCACTTACTGCTTTCTCACTGATACAGCAAGGGGGTGGGTGAAGAGACACCTGTTCTCTGTGCCTTGGATTCCTCTCCCACAAAACTGGGCCCAGCATTGCAGTTCCAGCACAGGATACATGATAGCGTTCAATGAGCCAACCCACTCAAAGGCATCAGAACAGTTCCTGGCAAACAGGGAGTGCTTGTAGACGCAATTTTTAAAAATATTTGTACTAGACAGGGTCCAATACCATGTAGTTTATTGTCTCTCTTCATGATTCACCTTTCTGTAGCATTTACTAGAAAAATGAAGAAGGGCCTGCTCTCATCATTTTGAATTATAATAGAAACCTAGCTGAAGTCGAAGTCAATGCAAGGTGGCAGAACTGAAATTAAAACAGAATTTGAATTCAGGAGGTATGAAGTTAAACTGTGGGTAATGAGAATTAACTAAGAATTTTTCCTGGAAAACCACAGCACAAAAAGTCAGGTACTCTGTTTATACATGGCTTGGCTCTACTTAAAGACACTTCAGGGTCTGGAGGAGGAAGTGTGCTTACAAATAAAGAAAATAAAATTACTTCTTTTCCTTCCTGCCAATCTACTTTAGCATTCATGTTCACGCTGCGATGCTCCACATTTTCAACATCTATCAACAGTCAATGATACCAGCAATGGTGATCTGCATCATAACCAGGGCTGAATTCACTGTTTTTTAGGGAGATTTTCATCCATGGGTGCATTTAGGCTTTTGCAACATCCTTTATAAACATGCAGCTGGTGATGCAAGGTTATTAAGATGTGTTTTGAAAATGATCAAATTCATGAACAAAATAGAATAGTGAATAGAAAAACAAAGTACCTGTCTTTAATAAACAAAATACTATACAGAAGTGATTAAAAAATCTAATATAATTTACATGTTTCAAAAAAAGTATGTTGATTATACTTGGAATTTTGAAACCACATAAAGCACTGGTGATACCAGTTGGCTTAGATCTAATTAATTACAGAGTTTTTTTTGTTAGTTCAAGTATAAATAACTAGCAGTCCTCATGCTGAATACAGTGCTGAGAGCTATAGAAAATGCCACTGATGGACATCCCTAGACTTTAAGCCACAGACGATGACAAACTAAGGATGAGAAGGGGTTCTAAAATCACAGGTCCATACTCCTGTTGGGTGCAAAAGCATTTAAATCATCTCACTGGATATTAATTAAACAACAACATGGACCTTTTGAAATGACCACCAGGTCTCTAATGCCCTGCAGACACAGATATATGCAACGTCACTCATTTATACTAAGAAAGTATCCAAGTTGGCCCCTGGGTAACATGTAGTGTGGGGCAAGACTGCACAATTTCTTCTTTCCCATCTTCACTGCTCCATCGTGTCTCTTTATTTATCTCAATTCTCTTCTAAATTCTTTTAATCTCTCTTGAAAACAAAGTTCTTCACCTAGCACAGAGAAATCTATTTCTCTGTGACAGTTTATTTATTATTCATTGAAGGAAAAAAAAAAACAAAATGAATCTCAATCTCTGCTGTACAAGAAAAAAGACCCAGTCCATCACAGCTTAATAGCCTTTGCAGTCCTACTACCACTGGCATGGAACCAGAGCAATAAAGCCAGATTGTGTTTTTTCTACCCAAACTACACCAAATGGTATTAAAACAGAAGCTTCCAACCTCCTCCAAACTTGGGATCCTGGGACTTACCCAGCTGACACTCTACAGCTGAAAAGCTTGTAGCAAGAGGTTGTCTTTTTGTGTGCTTAGCAGGCCATCATTTGATGCATCACCTATTCCAAGGGGCAGGCATGCAGAATTTATCTTCTCTTTCCTAGCAGGCAGCATTCACAGAGAGCCCTGCCTTCCTGATAGCCCTGTGGGGGTGAGGCAGAGGAGCACTTACAGAGACGGTAGAGCTGGGCGTGTTGGTCCCATAGCCAGAGGAGGGGAGGGAAGCCAGTGACCAGCGACGTCCGTCGGTCCTGTGGGGAAAGCACCAGTGTATCGTTACAGGGGAACGCCAGGCAAATTGAGTATTTTTAGTCAAACAAATGACACAACATAGTCTGTGAGGGTGTGGACATGATGCTCAGCCCAGGACCAGGGTAAACAAACATTATACACCAGGTTGATTTTTATTTAAATGAAATCAATATACCCAAACAAGCAGAAAGTGAATGGGGAGATCCATATTATTGATCTCTCACTAATACACTTTGACAAAATGAATACCAGGGATAATTACAGCGGTCAGACTCAGCAGATTGAAATGAATAAAAACAAAAAGGAGGAGGAAAGCTATTTGGGAGGGATATCCAGGGCGCAGAACTTTTGCGATTCAGGGTCTGAGTTCCAGTGTGCAACAAGGGCCTGTGGACACTTTCCTTTGATGACTTGTCTGCGTATTCTTTTTGAAGGCAACATGGTTGCTCAGCACTCCAAGGGAAGAAAGGATCAGGTGGCCAACGTCTGGCTCAAGCCCTAAGTGGCCAATAACTTCAGCACTAAGAAAGTGACTGACCTCATGCTCAGAATCTCCTAAGAGTTACTGCCTTCCGACACGACCTGGCTATAAAGTGTCACACCCAAAACCCCTCTCCGAGATTCTGACCACACAGCCCAGCTCTCACCAGTAACCGTGGGAGCAGCATGGAGAATTCTGCCCAGAGGTCCCTGCCTGACAATTAGAGGCAGCACTGTCTGGGGCCTCAGAGGAGCAGTCTGCACCTTCTGCTGCTGATGGGATGCGAGCTTTGGACTGGGTCCCTGGCTATGAATCACGGATGTCGCTAGGGCCTCAGATACATGAAAGCTGTAACAGCAGAGACGCTGCAGCTGCCAAAGCAAGGAGATCTCAGGGACTGCAGGGTGTGACCTGATGGGCAATTTCAAGTACAACTATTAACACTGTGAAAACAACTATATGCAAAATTGCCAAGGTGCAAAACGGAAAAAAAGAAATTAGTATTGGAGTCTTCATATGTTCATGGAAGATGGGCATTCTCGTTTAGAGCTTTTTCAGAAACTTTTGGAAGTGCTTTCAGACTGCAAATTTACTACAGGATCATAAAAAGACATCTTGTAATTCACAATTATACAAACCTGCCGAGTGAAAGACAAGAATGGACAAGAGCTGAGACCTGCTCACAGCAAACTGAAGTCAAGGAACTCAACAGCTTGAATTGGAGAAGTCACAATTAGATGATTTTGTGGCACACTGACACGCGAGCCTACACTTGTACTCAAGCGAAAATATAATGATAGGTCACCATATGTTCTACCTCCAATAACTTATAATGGTCCACAAAGACAAAATGAACAAGTTCAAGTGGACATCACACAGAACTACCATGTTAAGATTTCAGTCAAATTTACCTGTCATTTTTGTGACCATGACTGAAGTACAACTGAATCAAATCATCAAAATAAGACTTTACGTAAGGGACTTGGGAAACTAAATTTTATGTCCTGTAAAAACATTTTGAAACAACTGAAAGTATTAAAACTTAAGCAAAAAAGTAATTACAACGAAGTGATTATAAAGATAGCTACCAACTAAATGGGTAAAAAGCAATCCTACTTCATTTGGCTACTTATTAAAGATTTTGAATATCTATGCTTGTACTTTATATTTTACACACTTTCAATCTGGAAAATAAGAGAAACCTTACCATTAAAAAAAAAATTATTCAGTCCATTTAATAGCAATTATCAGAAACTCGTCTGTGGAAAGAGGGAAAGACAATTTTCCCTACCATGATTTTGTTTTGTGATTCGTTAACTCTCCCTTCCCTCAGGTATCAGTGAACATATTTCAGATGAATGAACAATTCCAACAGGAGACATGTTCTTATTACTTCTAAAGCATAAATTACGTTTGCTCAGTCTGGAAAACATACAAACTGGAAAGATGTTTAAACAAGAATGTGTTTTGTACTCTGTAGAGCCACAGACCAGAAATAATTTACGTCTCATAAAGTCCCCTAAGTTGTCCGTGTCTATTTACTCAAATGGAGCAAAAGGACCACTGCCTTTTCATTACCATGACAACCGCACATCAGAAACTACTATATATGCTCCATACAGTGCTTAAAAGAGAACATGCCTTTTTTTCCCCCAAGAAAGCTATCACACAAGTGTAATTTGCATCCCACTAGCAGTGTTGTCTTTCTCTGCAGTAGCCTCCAGCACAATGTTATCTGAAGAGAAGGCTACCTTCTTGCCAGAGCAACAAGGCTTCTCAGAAGAGAGATTTTCAGCATTTAGTGGAAATGTAAGAAGGGACAAACACCTGATAGGAATTTAGACTACAAAAAGGCTAACGCAAGATTTCAAAGCTACTTTTAAAAGTTTAGATTAGTATAGTCTACAACAGCAAGCATTTGCATGTCAACGTGGCTATTAAAATTGCAGGAAGAGGAAAGCAAATTACTTTTCATGTGTGATGGTTAGTTGAGGTAAGAGGCTATACATTCTGGTTGACGTTGGAAAGAGCAGAACTATGTCAGTTTGCAGACAGTGACCAGCTGGAGTCCACCGAGGACTACCTATGAGAATGCCTAAGGGATTGCTCTGCTCACCAGTGCTCAATGCCTACAGCAGAAGGGAGGACTGGACGGATAAACAGGCCTCCCCTTAAGCTCTTCACCCAGGACAATTTCCAAAACACAGCAATATTTTACTTTACTGAGCTAAATTTATAAGATAAAATGTGTGTGGGGGGGGCAGGTCTCCATATGGCTCAGTTTTTTTAAGGACTTTGAGACGCACCCCCCCAAATGCAAAGGACGTGAGAGGTACAAGTGGAAGCCCTCTGTTCTCCTAATGAAAACAACTCTAACATCCAGGAGATACTAAATAAAAAACAAACACCAAGTTGAATTTTCATACATTATACAAGGTCCTATTTGCTTGCATTAGAGTAGCAAGGATGATCACTCATGTCCTAATCTACATTAATGCTTTCTGAAGAGTGTGGAGGCTGTTCCATCTGGAAACCCAGACAAAGTGAACCCCAGGTCTCCTGTGATAATCTCTCGTCACGGTGTGTGGTTTATTTGTCAAAAATTAACATGCCTGGAAGTGTTTTTTATTTTTTATATTTTGAAGCTTAGAAATCAGATTAATCTGTCCTTCAGTCACTCACTTAATTATTGGATTCTATTCATTTTTATATATCTGCAGGACTAAAATACTATGATTTCTGTCGTGTTCAAATGCATGCAATAAATGCAAATTTTTCTTATTAAAGTAATGAAATACATTTGTCCCTGTTTAAGAGATATTTTTAAAATTTTTATTTTGTTAATTTAAAAAGCAGAGTGACAGGGATAGAAAGGCAGAGATCTTCTAGTGGTTTACTCAACAAATGGCCCTAGCAATCAGGCTGGGCCAACTCAGAACAGGAGCCCACAGTTCCATCCAATTCTCCCCAAATGGCCCTACAGGAGAGGCTGGGCCAATTGAGACCAGGAGCCCACAGTTCCTTTTGAACTTCCAACATAGGTGGCAGGGGCCTAAGTACTTGTGCCATTATCTGCTGCCCTCCCAGGTGCATTAGAAGGAAACTGGATCAAAAGTGGAGCAGCTGGGATTTGTACCAATATTAGACTCCTAGGAGGCTACATAACCTGCTGTACCAGATGTGGGACCCTAGAGAGAAGCTATAAAGAAGGTGGTGGTCACTTGTTTATCAAGTTTTATGGGATTGTTTTTCTATCTGCAATAGTAGCACCATCAGAAACTAGTATTCAGTAGGCACAGACTTCACATGACCAACCAATACTCATGTTTTCTGGATGGTACTTAAGATGAGGAACTAAAACAATATATTTTCACATCAAGAAAAAATCAGGGTGAGTTTTAGTAAGCTGTCGGTTAATGTCTTTTTTTTTAAAAGATTTATTTTTTATTATTTTTTATTGGAAAGGCAGATATACAGAGAGGAGAGACAGAGAGGAAGATCTTCCGTCCGATGATTCACTCCCCAAATGAGCACAATGGTCAATGCTATGCCGATCTGAAGCCAGGAGCCTCTTCCGGGTCTCCCACGCAGGTGCAGGATCCCAAAGCCTTGGGCCGTCCTCAACTGCCTTCCCAGGCCACAGGCAGAGAGCTGGATGGAAAGCGGGGTTGCCGGGACCAGAGCTGACGCCCATATGGGATCCCGGACGTGCAAGGCGAGGACCTTAACCACTGCACCATCGCGCCGGGCCCATGGGCTAATGTCTTGATCACTCTCATACTCTCTTGGTACTGAGGTAGAAGGTGCATTTTAATGTATGATGGGACGTGACTAATCCAAGAGAAAATCTCTCTTTTTGACATGAGGGTTACAACATTATAGTATTAACTATTAATTATACATCAGAATTCTGAAAATGCTGCAAACATGCTTTCTTCCAAATTTTGCAGTATAAAATGCAGTATAATTGACAAAAAGTAGTTGTAGGCATTGTAAGCTTTGTTGGTTAGTAACATGTAAGAACAAATACATATTTTAATCCATCTAAGTGTCTTTATCAAGGGCTACGATAGTCCCTTAGGGTACAGCTAGGTCTCTGAGGAGGATTTAGCAAACGCTGAAGCCAATGAGGCCATAAGCCAAATGTGTCCTGAACACTCAAGAGTCCAGGCTGAAGGGATACTTTGTATTCTTCATGTTATCTTCTGGGCAGAGATGGACAAGGCATGGATGTGATGGGGTAAAGGGGCCAGCACGGGTGCAGGTGTCAAGCTATTCCCACAAAGAGGCCACAGAAGAGATGACTGGTGGACAAATCATAGAGCAAGATCGCCGACTCAAAACTGGACATGACCACTCCCTGCTAATGCAGCTGGGAAAGACATGGAGGATGGCCCACATCCTCGGATGACATGGACTTCTGTGGGGGACCCAGGAGAAGCTCCTGGCTGGTGGCTTCAGCCTGGCCCAGCCCTAGTCATTGTAATCATTTGGGAAGTAAGCCAGTGGATGGAAGCTCTCTCTGTCCCCCTCTCAAATTCTCCCTCTCTCTTCTGTAACTCTGCCTTTCAGATAAACAAAATGTCTTTTTTTTTAAAAGCGCCAGATAAAAAGCCTTCTGGGCAACAACACTTCCTCCTGACTCAATGATTCAGACACAAGATATGTGTCTGAGACGTTGACTCTAAACAGGACAGGAAGAGAAGACACGAGGCATTCTGCTGACCACCATGGTGTTGTCAGAAGGTGCTGCCTTGAAGCTCTCAAACACACAGGAACTTCAGGATTCTTAGCTTATGATGCTAAGAAAGTCCTTGTTACACAAAATAATTGCAATAATAAGACAACTGCACCAGGACACAGATGCACCAAGTGTCTATAATCTAAGAACTGATAATTGAACCAGAATCCATCAAGTACCAATCATGGACAACGCATTGCAGTAAGAATGGGCGGGAATGGGGAAAGTGCAACTTCCAGCCCTTAGTGGGCACTGTGCACCAGTGAAAGTTCACAAGGGCACCAAAGGCCAAAACAAGGCCCAGATGATCTGCCCTGACCTGTTCCGCAGGTCCGTTGGAGCACAGTTCAATGGTGGCCTGAGGAGCCTCTGAGCAGCTCATCCACAAAAGGGAATGAGCAGGTGAATGGAAAGAGAGGCTGGAAAACCAGATTCTCCACATCACACATCACTTCTCTACTCACAAGGGGGCCTTACCTCCGTGCAAATGAAAAGTGGGCTGAGGCACTGGGGGAGAAATTTCTTGGGCTATCTTGAGGACTGTTTCCTGCAGAGAGAATGGAGAAAATGTTACAAGTTTGGTTTTGTATCATTATCCACATCCATGGTCATCTTCCCCTTGGTCATGGGTTTCTTTCCATTTTATAAGTTGTTATCTCCTTCAGGAATGGGCTGGCCTGCCCTGGAGTAGGAGTATTGAGGGGAGCAGGGAGCCTGAGTTCCAACACAGTTTCCCAGATGTGCCAGACGTCCATATGTTTAAAAAACAAAAACACCTTGCCTATATTACCACACAGTAGCTCTCTGTATATCTAACATGTAAATATTCCAGACCCATAGAATAATGCATATATTCTAATCTTGGTTGTAACCCTCCCAAGGCAAACACATTCAAAACAAACACAGTTATAGAGACAGGTTTCAAACTGGGGGAGCGTTCTGTTTTGGGGGAACAGCCTTAGCAGTTTAAGGCTAACTGCATAAAGGTCTGAGCTCTCGAAAATTAAATTGTCCAAAAGTGCCTATTGTCAAGGTCCACGTGTCGGAACTAAGAATTCGGCCACCTACACCCAATGAAGACGACCCACATCTGTTTTACTTCAGCACAAGCAGTGGAAGGGCAGAGCCCAAAAAACTCCTTTGTCAACGTTCCCCTCAACAACATCCCTGTTCTATGTAGGGCAGCTGGACTGCAACTCGCCAGGCAGTCCTGGAACACCACAGCGGCAGACGGCCCAGCTGAGCACGTCTCGCCAAGTTCTTCCAAGGTAGAGAGCGGGCAGTGATTGCTCACTGAAAGGAGGGCAGCTCCTCGGGGGCTTGTTACTTTCTCTATTAGCCCACTCAACCTGCTGCTGATCATTGAGAAAGCTTGGCAGGCAGCTGGCGAGGGCAGGACCAGGACACTCCAGACCACCCTGCTGCCCTCGGCACATGGTGTAAGATTGGTGGAATTGTCTGAGGACCACAGAGGGCCCTAGCTGGTTTAAATAAGGAGCTGAGACATGAGAGCTGCCAAGTAACTGGACATTCTTGCAAAATGGAAAATAAATCAGAAGGAGATGCTTCGCTCCTAACAGCCACATTACGAGCTTCCCAGTGGAAGTGATGGCTGCAATTAGGTATGAAGAATTCCAGGCAGCACGGGAAAGCCAGTGTACCTGGCTGGAAAGGTAAACAATTGATGAGCTGTGAGCACCAAGAATAGATGAACCCATTACAGAGGCCAAATTTAGTGTTACCTTGAGGACTTCTGGATGGGCTACATCTCTACAGAAATTTTTCAATTAAGTGAAGGTCGCAAATTTTGCAGTGATGCCTTCAACAGATGCTATTAACTGTATGACAGTACAATCAAAGCCATTTAATAAGCAAGTGCTGAGCAGCCCGTTTCTTGAGGGAGGGAAAATCAGGAGGCCCTTTCTCCCCTGCTGCAGGGAAATTTATCATGCCTTTGCATCTGTTGTTCCAGGAGCCCCTGGAGAAATGGATTCTGCTTTCGCCACCCAGCAGTCCACGATTCATTTTGTCCATTTATCTATGCGGCAAATTAAGTTCTTTCAACTTCGTGCAACAGCCTCATCATTGCCCCCATACTTTTAACTTGGCTTATACATTCCTCTCCGTACTCCACAAAAGAGCTCAGTTATTTCAAGATTTTTGATAATCTTTTGTTGTTGTTGTTTGTTTCCTGATGAGAATTTAAAGCCAGAAATCTTCTTACAGATTTTGGCTGGGATGAATGTATATGTTGCTCACACACCAGAAAAGGTAAACTACAAGTCAATTATCAGAACAAAATACGCGATTATTCAAAGCAAAGGCATTTTGAGAATAATCTCCTCTACCTCAATTCGTTCAAAATGAATGAGACCAATGAAACCTGGAACCAAATTCTTATCCTTTGCTTGCTGTTCAGAAAACACTATCTCTGGAGGTTTAAATGTGATCAATCAGAATAATTAGAGAGTCTATGAAATATTTTCTTAAATCTCAAAGAGAGGAACGAGGGACTAGGTTAAAACCCTTTTCACTTTCAGAGCTTTTAATGCGTCCTCCCCAAGATATCAGGTAACATATTATAACACATGGTGACCTATCACCTTTAGGATGGATGGGCAGAGAAATAGATCCAGAGCTAGGGTAATTTAATCTTGTTCTAAAACAGCAACAACAACACAACCAAAACCAAACCAAAAAAAACCACCAAAGCTGCCACTAATTACTTCTCGTGTTCAAATTTTGCCTTCCAATCCTGGGCTGCCTGTCGGGGTTCACTGATTGTAAAATTTTCTCCTTTTCCTCTCTCTTATGCATATCTTTGATATCAAGAGAGTCACCTGTATTAACAAGCAGAGATCGTTTCAGTTGTTCCTTGTCAGAGCTGAGCTGAAATGCCAATGAAGTTTGAAGTGATGTTGAAGACATCATTTGGAGGCTGGGACTGGGTAAGGCAGTCAGTCGTCCACAGCCCCGGCAATCCCATGTGGGCACCAACTTCTGTACTGGCTACTTCAGTCCCTCTTAAGCTCTCCAGTAATGCGCCTGGAAATGAGGTGGATGATCGCCCGAGTGCTTGGGCCCTTGCCTGGTGTCAGCCTGACCCAGCTCAAGCCACTGTAGCCATTTGGCAAGTGACCTGTCTCTTCCTCTCTTCCTCCTTCTCTGCCTCTTTCTAAAACTTTGCCTTGCAGATATATATACATATATATATATGGGGATTGGGGGAATGACATTATTTGGCACACACAAGTGCCTGGGTTAAGTTCTCTCTGATTCTTCCTTTCTGCTAACACGCGCCCTGGAGGGAATCAGACCATGGCTCTGTCTGTCATTTACATGGGAAACTGTGATAAAGTTCAAGATTTCTGGTTTTGAGCTGGGCCAAGGAGAATGACCCCCTATTTTAAGAAACAAGTGGGCAGAAGTATGGGCTGGGAATAGAGAGGGGGCAATGCAGTGTTCTGCAGATCCCTGTGTCATGTCCTGCAAACAATTCCTCCATCTTCTACAACAGATAGACAAAAGTCTTAGGAGGCTTGGTTCTCATTTCAAATAGAAATGGATTTCTACTTGACCTCAGAAGCCTTCTCACCTCTATTTGCCTACTGGCAGCAATCAAAACATCGCTGATGTAGAAGAAACCTTGCTGTAAAGCATACCTGTGATATTCTGAACCCAATGTGGAAGACTGGCCCACGGTGCATACTCGCCCAGGCTGACAGCCAGAGGAATGGAAGCGCAGTCCTATACATGCCCTTCACTCTTCACAGCACAGTTCTCTGAGTTCACCCACCCATCTGCAAAGCTATACCTGGGAGACTCTCAAAATGAAAACTGGTGCCAGTCAATTCTCTGCCCATATGTGCAGCACTTGCTTATAACTCCAATCTTACTGCTCCAAGGGACTGGCTGGCTGTAGATGGTTGAATGCTAGGATGTTTTATGGACTGCCAGCATCGCTGCTGATATTTCTGACCCCACTGGTAAGCTCAGTAGTGGTCAGACATCAGGTAGGTAATTAACGCCAGTATCCTCAAAGGGCCCTGGCATGGCTGATGCACAGCCATGTATCCAAAACATACTTTACCTAATGGGGTTGTCTGGGATGCCTCATTTCAGAGGTGTTTATTGTTAAAGTGATTTCCAGATTAATTAAATTGTTTGATTGCTTGGTAATTAGGTTGGCAAAGTCTTCTGTCTTTCCACAAGGATGCAAGTTGCAAACCTTTTAAAAAGGCATATGCTATCCCCACTAGAAGATTATGAATGCGCTTTTAATAGGTGTCTGATCTTAAAATGATGGTTTTTGATAACATTATCTATCAAGATGGAGGGGATTCAAAAATTAATGATAACTGTCCTTGAAATTGCTGGTGAATAAGAGAATAAACCCCGGTTTGAATTCTTCTAGTCATCATTTGCTGATCCCTTTAAATGAGTTGTGACTGTGGCACCCCAAGAGTCAGTTCTGTGTGTCACTGCTTTGTCAGAGGTTCCCAGAAAGGCATGAGTACTGCCTAAAACCTTAAGACTGAACTTCACAGCATCAAACAGGAACCCATGGCAAGGTGAATGTCAGCAGATAAAGCAGGATGTGGAATACTGATGCGGGAATCTCAGATCAAGTCAATTCATGAAATAGTTAAAGGCCATGGAGAAGTTTAAGTCTGTCCCACCGGACCCGGTCAAGGTGGTATACACAGAGAGGGTCAGAGATTGACTTTCATGCAGACACCTGTCTCAGAAATTGGCTCCACTCCAGGTGTAATTGCAGACTATTCATTAGGCCTGGACAGCTGTTTAAGATCCAAATGGCTAAGGCACAATCTTGATTGACTGTCGGTGGAATTGTCCCTTGGTTAGCTGTGAAGTAAGCACCGCGGGCCAATGAACACAAGGAAACCTCTGTGCTTTGGTTTTCAAGTGGAAAGAGAAGTACATACTGCCAAGAAAAGCTTTCTTACAATCTCCAGACTCTGACTCTTTGGTTTTTTCCTGTCCCAGCCTCATTCATCTCCTAACAGCCACGACCCATGGCTTGACTGATTTAATCAACAGATATTCATTAGCCCACTATGACAGAGAGAAGAATGACAAGACCAAGATCTTTCTTAGCTATTCTGTGTCCAGGTAGGCAAGAGTAGAAGCAACGAGGTGAAGCAGGAAGCTGCCAGTAAGGACGAGGTCACAGGAGACAGTATGTGGTCTTTGCAGATCTCAGCTCGGTTTTGAGAGTGGAGCCAATGGGATGTGCTATGAAACAGGCTAAGTATATGAAGAGAGGAACAGAGTTGACAAGATCTTGGACAAAGTAAAGGAGTAAATGGTGACATTAACTCAGATGGGGACAATTGAGCAGGACAATTGAGAGAAGAACTTAAATTCTTGTGTAGGCTTTGGTCTCCTAATGCAGGGTGGACATCAAATTATTTTAAATATATGAAAGTATTTGAAGTGAGATGCAGTTACATGTAATAATGTCACATCTACTTGTGTTTCTCAGATATAATATTTATATCATCTACACATTCAAAAACTTAGTTT